ATGACTTTTTATGCCTTACTATACTATGTCTTTTATACCTTACTATACTATGACTTTTTCATGACTTTTTATGCCTTACTATACTATGACTTTTTAAGCCTTACTATACTATGACTTTTTTATGACTTTTTATGCCTTACTATACTATGTCGTTTTCATGACTTTTTATGCCTTACTATACTATGTCTTTTATACCTTACTATACTATGACTTTTTCATGACTTTTTATGCCTTACTATACTATGACCTTTTATGCCTTACTATACTATGACTTTTTCATGACTTTTTATGCCTTTCTATACTATGACTTTTTATGACTTTTTATGCCCTACTATACTATGACTTTTAATGACTTTTTATGCCTTACTATACTATGACTTTTTATGCCTTACTATGCTGTCGTTTTTATGACTTTTTATGCCATACTATACTACGTTGATTTTATGACTTTTTATGCCTTACTATACTATGACTTTGGATGCCTTAAATTACTATGACGAATTTATGACTTTTTATGCCCTACTATACTATGACATTTTAATTAATACAGTATCACTTTTTCATGGCTTTTATTCCTAACTATAGCATGACTTTTCATTACTTATTATGCCTTACTAAACTAAGAAGTGTTTTTTGACTTTTCATGCCTTAGTTTAATATTACTCATTATGTCTTACTATAGTATGACTTTTTTATTATGCTCTGATTTTTTTTGACTTTTTATTCCTATAGTATGAATTTGTAGGACTTACTATACTATGATGACTATTACTATTACTATGACTATTCACAAGTTATTATACCGTATTACATTGATGTTCTTTTTTCTTTTTATGCCCTATTATAGTATGACGTTTTGTACAACACTTTGACTATGACTTATCATGCTCTACTATATTACAACTTTTTCATGATATTTCATGTCTTAGTATGAATTGACTTTCTAGGCCTTAATATACTGACACTTTTTATGGGTTTTTATGCCTTTTCATTCCCAACAATACCAACTTTTTATGACATTTTATTCCTTACTTTACTATATTTTTTGCAGTAATATAGAATTAGATGTTTTTGACATTATTTGACTTACTATATCACGACATTTTTAAGTTTTTTTTTTTTTTTAAAATAGAACATTAACAATCATGATCAAAATGAAAAAAATGAATAGGATAAAATAAAAACAGTCAAAACAAGTTTTTTTTAAGAACTTAATTTCCACTGTGTCACATTTTATAAACTTGTGGCTTATAATCAAAATCATCTGCAAAGGGACCAGGAAGTGAAGCTGCAGTGTAAACATAGTTTGTGTTGGACGTAGAAGAATAATTAAACAGCTGGACAGTTCAGTTAATCTTTATTTAAATAACCAATATGAACAGTACATTTAAAATAGTGGTTCTAAGTAGAAAAAGAGTGAAAACACTGGATCATCTCAGAGACGTCTTCAGTGTCTGTGAAGGACTAAACGTGTCGATCATCTGAACTATTTGTATGTGTTGTGTCCTCAGGTGTCTGATCACCTGACCTCAGGTGTTCATTATGAACGATTATTAAAGTCAATCAAAGGGAATCAACAACGACCTGAGCTCCTCCTCAGGTACACAGGCACAAAACAAGGCCATCGCCTCTCAACACGTCTGATTGTAAAGCTCTGCTCTGATTGGTCCTCTGCAGTTGTTTGAGCTCAGTCAACCTTAAAGAAGTAGTTCCATGTTTTAGGAAATACGCTCATCTGCTTCTTGTAGAGTTAAATGAGAAGACTGATCCCACTCTCATGTCTAGATGCTAAATATGAAGCTAAATCTGATTAGCTTGGCTCAGCATAAAGACTGGAAACAGCTAGTTTTGGTACCTTTGGACAGAGCCAGGCAAACTGTTTCATACGGTGGCCCTGAAAGCTCAACGCACTGCAACTTAAAAAAACACATGCAAAGACACAAACACACTGCAAATACAGAAAACATCTTCATCGACTTGACAACACGAGCTGCAAATACAGCACACCAGGAAGTGTTTCCAGGGGACACTTAAAAGTGATGAACCTGGCTTGTTGTTCAATGCCCCACTGTGACCTTTGAAGTTAAAAGCATTGATTTTGTAGCGTGTTTGTGTCTCTGTATGTGTTTTCTTAAGTTGCAATTTGTTGAGCTCTCAGGGCCACCGTACCACTCTCATGTCTGGACGCTGAATACAAAGCTGCAGTCGATTAGCTTAGCTTAGCATAGAGACTGGAAACAGCTAGTTTAGTTACCTTTGGACAGAGCTAGGCTAGTGGTTTCCAGTCTTTGTACTAAACTAAGCTAACCACCTGACTCCAGCTTCAGATTGAACACAGACATGAGAGTGCTAACGATTGGCTCCTTTGACTTGAGCAGAGCCTGTTTAAGTCTGTGAGGGAGGGAAAACATTTTCTACAGCTGAACCTCAGACGCTGTCGTCTCCGTTTCACTGAGATAATTCACTCAAGTCTGTTTGTCTCTGTCTTTGTCTCTGAGCCGTGCAGCTGTTGAACTTTAAAGAAGTGTCTTCCACAGCAGAGATGAAGCTGCTCGCTGTTTTATTTCAGTCTGTGTCAGTGAGCAGGTTGATTGACAGCTGATGTCCCTCCTCTGATTCTGAGGAAGACAAAGATTTTCCTGCGAGTGTCGATCTGAGGAAGGTGGCCATCTTTAAATAACACTTTCATTAACACTCTGTGTGACTGAGGCGTCTGCAGGTGTGTGTGTGTGTGTAGTGTCTGCGTCAGATCAGCTGATCCGTCCTCAGAGTGAGTCGTCGAGCGGAGCCATGAGCAGCTGCAGCTCTTTGAAGGCGCTGCCGTGGCGACCGACCTGCGCCGCCTTGTTCTTCACGATGTTGCTGAGGTTCTTCAGCTGCTTACAGCACGCTCTGCACTTCTGGTGTCTGCAGTGACAAACGTCATCATCAGGGTCAGTATGAAGGAAAAGTTACAGCTCTTCATACGTTTGTTTAGTTTCTGTTGAATCAACTGAAACTCAGTGTTTCAGTCATCATCACATAAAAATGTAAAAGTGTTAAAACAAGTCTGAACCGGTTCAGTTCATCTCTCCATGTGGAAACTATTGATCCTCTGAGGGTAAATTCATGTTTCATTGGTCTTTACATGAGCTTCATATTGAACTGTTAGATCTGTACCACTGCTCACTGCGGTCTGAATCTTATTCTAACATTTAAATCTATTACTATATTAAGTCATCCTGCTGTTTCTTATCGATTCATTCAATCATTTTAGACTTTATGTTTGTCACACTCCCCTCCCCAATGTTGAAGAACCTTAAACTGTTTTTTAATCATTCATTTTTATTGTTGGTTGTCAGTTTAATCTCGTCTTGTAGAGCACTTTGTAACTGTCTTTTGAAAGGTGCCGTATAAATAAAGCTTATTATTATCATTATTATCATTATTGCTAACAGATCTGTTTATATCTGTGAATCCACAGTCCTCGATCTGTTCTGTTCAGTCTGAGGTGGATCAGGTGGTGAACTCTTCCTGTTACTGTCACAGTCTGAACACAGTGACTGTGGGAGATCTGTCTCAGACGCTGAAGCCTCATTAACTTTAAATAAACAGAACGACGTCCATCACCTCCTTTAGAAACATGTTATAAACATGTGAGGGATGTGAATGTCCAGTGTGAACAGGAGGACGATCAGTGTTTAACTGTTAATGTCCCTCTCACTCTGACACGTCTCCATGGTTCTACACACAAACCACTGAAACATGTGATCAGGTTCAGATGAGTTCAGTTTGAAATAAAATAACATCTAAAACTCTGTAGATGTTTCTTTGCCTCTGATTTAAACATCATTAAAGTCTCTTCACACTCACTCGTTTAAAACTAGTTAGTGATGTTTTATTTTACACACTATCTTCTGGAGCAGCTCATCACAAAACCAAGTGTTCAGTAAAGTAAAGTGAAGTGAAGTGAAGTGTCTCACCGCTCCTCTCGTGTGATGTCGACTCCGACACACGGCGACGCCTTTAACGTGTCTGAGATCAACATCCAGAAATGTTTCATGATGAGCTTCAGAGACGTACAGCCGGTCTGCATGTAGCTGAGACACACACACACGCACACGCACACATTAAAAGAAGAGTAAATCATTACAATCTAATCTAAAAACCATCAGTGTCTCACTGAGATCAAAGTACAGGGGCGCCCCCCTCTGGTCTCCACTGGTCACTGCACTAACAGGATCAGGATCCAGATTCTTTACATTGATCTTTCTTTACCTTCAGCCAGTAAGATATTAATCAATTAACTGATTGTTAATTGTTAATTTGTTAATTTCCAGGTTCCAGTTTTTGCAGCTTTTCTTTGTCATGTGACTAAATTGAATATTTTATATAGATTATAGATTCATATTTGAGTCAGACCAACTAACAAACTGAACATGTCACCTGAGTGCTGGGAAATTAAAACCAGCATTTTTCTGACATATTAAAGAAAAAACTGCAAGTAATAATAATAATACTAATAATCAATAATCGGATCAACTGTCACATCATCAGACCTTAAAACAAGAGAAAAGCCTCAGGTGAGGTCAGTCACTCACCTCTCGTATTTACTCTGCAGCAGTTTGTCGATCTGAGGAAGGATCGACGTACAAAGGTCCAGTTTCCATAGCGACCTGAAACAACAGCGACGTCAGTTATTATTGTTCTAGTTCCTGTTTAAACTTTATTTAAAACATGACATGAACGTATTCATCCAGATGTTTTACAGCTCAGGGACAGTTTCAGATTCATCTGACGACACATGAACTTTTCTTCAGGTCAGGTGACGACAAGTCCCTCATACGTCTTCATAGCTTTAATTACATGATGATGAACTGAACTGTGTGTGTGTGTGTGTGTGTGTGTTTGTGTGTGTGTGAGAGACTCACGGCTGCAGGTTGATGATGTTGAGGATGTCCACTACAATGGACAGGTCGTTCATGGAGACAGCCGTGTCCAAGGCACTCTGCAGAGAGACAGCAGACAGGAATTGGACAGGAAGTCCATGAGAGGTGGTTGAAAGCTTCAGAACTACATTAGTAAGTGGAGCTTGTGTTGTGAAGACATATTTAATTAGTGACACCTTCCTAATAAATGAAATGATGATTGAGTCTTTTATTTCTTCTGAATGAAGAAAATAAAAATCTGATCACAGAGCTCTGATCAGATCAATCAATAAGAATGATTTTTTCTATCGTGTGTTTTGGGTCAAAGGAGAAAAACTGGAAAATCACAACAGTTTCCTCTTTTAGTATTTTACCTTTCAGTCATGTCAAATACTATAAGTCTCAATATTTAAAGTTATGAATAAAAACTTTGTCTCAGTTTGAATGAATTATGAATCTAATAAGAAAATCTCTCTGGCCCTGATGAGACCTGATGAGAACCTGATGAGACCCCGATGAGACCCAGACGAGACCCCGACGAGACTCTGATGAGACTCTGATGAGACCCTGATGAGACCCCGACGAGACTCTGACGAGACCCCGATGAGACCCTGACGAGACTCTGATGAGACCCCGATGAGACCCCGATGAGACTCTGATGAGACCCTGACGAGACTCTGATGAGACCCCGATGAGACCCCAATGAGACCTCGACGAGACTCTGATGAGACCCCGATTAGACCCCGACGAGACCCAGACAAGACTCTGATGAGACCCTGATGAGACCCCGATGAGACTCTGATGAGACCCCGGCGAGACCCTGATGAGACTGATGAGACCCCGACGAGACCCCGATGAGACTCTGATGAGACCCCGATGAGACCCCGATTAGACCCCGACGAGACCCAGACAAGACTCTGATGAGACCCTGATGAGACCCCGATGAGACCCCGATGAGACTCTGATGAAACCCTGATGAAACCCCGACGAGACTCTGATGAGATCCTGATGAGACCCCGACAAGACTCTGATGAGACCCCAATGAGACCCCGACGAGACCCCGATGAGACTCTGATGAGACCCCGACGAGACTCTGATGAGACCCCGACGAGACGCCGACGAGACTCTGATGAGACCCTGACGAGACCCCGACGAGACCCCGATGAGACCCTGATGAGACCCCGACGAGACTCTGATGAGACCCCGACGAGACTCTGATGAGACTCTGATGAGACCCCGACGAGACCCCGATGAGACTCTGATGAGACCCCGATGAGACTCTGATGAGACCCCGACAAGACCCCGATGAGACCCCGACGAGACTCTGATGAGACTCTCATGAAACCCCGATGAGACCCCGACGAGACTCTGATGAAACCCCAACAAGACCCCGACGAGACTCTGATGAAACCCCGACGAGACCCAGACGAGACTCTGATGAGACCCCGACAAGACCCAGACGAGACCCGGCTCACCTTGATGTCCTCTCTGGCCCACACGGCTCGGACCGTCTCCAGGTTCTTGTGTCGGCTGCTCAGCATCACACACATGGTGTCGTGACCCTTCTTGATCTGAGACAGCGCCTCCTCGTCGCTCAGAGCTCCAGGTCTGTTGTTGGGGGAAGACTGAGGAACAAAAGACCAGGAGAAAGATTTAGTTTGATCTCTGACACATTAGAAAACGTAGATAATAAAATGATATTGTGTTTTATTGAAATCACCTGACAGGTGAGAAGTTACTGGTGTTTATTTTCAGAGGTAAAAGTTTGTGAACTTTTTTCTCACAGGAGGAAACTCAGGACTGAGTCGTTCCAGTCAATCACAGAATCATTTCTATCAGTAATGTTAGTTTGTATTGGTAACAGTTAAAATAATCACTTCAAATAACACAATAATCACAGCACGTTTATATTCTCTCATTTATCTATTAGTTAATTAATTAGTCAACTGCCATCAAATTAATTCTGATAGTTGATTAATTGTTGTGATGATTGTTTAAATCATTTTTAAAGTAAAGATTCAAACTCTCTGGGATGAATATTTTCTCTGAAACTGAAGTGAATCTGTTTTAATGTCGAATGATGAGTAGCGATGATTCAAATTATGTGTTAAGATACTTTTTGTTATTGAATAAGGAAAATTCAATAATGACAGATAAAAGATACTTACTTATTACTTAGCAACAACCAACCAACCAAAAGTCTGAAGTTTTACATGTATATTGTTTTATATGTTTAAACGGAAGGTTTTTCTGGAGGTTTATAAACTTCTCTATGATCAAATCTGAAGTCGACTCAAAAGAAAGGTGGTGTCAGGGGTCATCATGTATGTGAGGTTCGGATCTGTTCAGGTGCGTTTGAGACTCACGGGCAGGAAGTCGGCCACGTTCAGTCCGATGGGCTCGTTCCTGGTGCTCAGGATGATTTTAGGTTGAGGTTTAGACTTGGCCGTGGTGACGGGGGGCTGAGGAGGAGGGGGGCGGAATGTGGGGGGGTCGGAGGACGAAGGGCCCACAGCTGAGGGGGCGGGACGCTTCGCACAGGAGACCACTGTAGGCTCCACCCTCTGGACCGGAGTAGAAGAGGCCTGAGGAGGAGCCTTCAAAACAACAAAACTTTATGTGAACAATGAACACTGAACATGTTCAGTCACATGACTGGGGCTGCTGCCTTCACTGACCTGCTGCTTGTCAGGAAACGGAGAAACCATGTCCTTCAGCTGATGGCTGATGGCTAATATGGTCTCTGAGAGGACAAGCAAACAATTAGTCCAACAGTAAACAACAGGAGTTAAAAACAGTTGAACAGGAAAGATTTCAGACAGAGAAGCTGCAGCTGTAACAGTAATGTCTGTGACCAGAGTGATGAAGATGTAGATGAAGATGAAGGACTCACCGTCTTCTGGAGGAGCAGGGAAAGGCTCGGAGATCTTGGGAGGAGTTCGAGCTGGAAGAAAGAAATGAGTCACTGATGATGCTTTTAATCTATTAACTCAAACTTTTTAACAGAACAGGTGTGAGCAGGTGCGAACAGGTGTGAGCAGGTGCGAACAGGTGCGAACAGGTGCGAACAGGTGTGAACAGGTGAGAGCAGGTGTGAGTGAGTGAAGAGATGTGAACAGGTGTGAGCAGGTCTGAACAGGTGAGAGCAGGTGTGAGCGAGTGAACAGATATGAACAGGTGTGAACAGGTGTGAGCAGGTGTGAGCAGGTGTAAGATAGTGAACAATTGTGAACAGGTGTGAACAGGTGTGAACAGGTGTGAGCAGGTGTGAACAGGTGTGAACAGGTGTGAGCAGGTGTAAGCTAGTGAACAGTTGTGAACAGGTGCGAACAGGTGTGAGCAGGTGTAAGCAGGTGTGAACAGGTGTGAGCAGGTGTAAGCTAGTGAACAGTTGTGAGCAGGTGCGAACAGGTGTGAACAGGTGTGAGCAGGTGTGAGCAGGTGTAAGATAGTGAACAATTGTGAACAGGTGTGAACAGGTGTGAACAGGTGTGAGCAGGTGTGAACAGGTGTGAACAGGTGTGAGCAGGTGTAAGCTAGTGAACAGTTGTGAACAGGTGCGAACAGGTGTGAGCAGGTGTAAGCAGGTGCGAACAGGTGTGAGCAGGTGTAAGCAGGTGTGAACAGGTGTGAACAGGTGTGAGCAGGTGTAAGCTAGTGAACAGTTGTGAACAGGTGCGAACAGGTGTGAGCAGGTGTAAGCAGGTGTGAACAGGTGTGAACAGGTGTGAGCAGGTGTGAGCAGGTGTGAACAGGTGTGAACAGGTGTGAACAGGTGCGAACAGGTGTAATCTGACAGTCGACCTACAGATGGCGTTCTTGGGTTGAAAGATCTCCTTGTAGTCTTCAGCGTTGTGGATCTCAGCTGACGACAGTTTCTCATCTGCCTCATCCTCACTGGGGCTCCGCCTCTCACCTTCGGGGCTCCGCCTATCAGCGTCTGACCTCTGCTTCACCCTGATGACATCACAACATGTGGAGTGACAGAGCAGGAATCAAGGAAAACGTATTTGATGTTAATAATAAATCTTCAGCTCTTATCTGGAGGTGTAACTTTTTGATACTAGTAACGAATTAAAAGTCGTGGTTTAACTTTTGTCCTGATGAAACTGACGAGGATCCATAAATTAAATATCTGAGTTTCAGAGCCTTTCACAAGATTGGTATTAAAAATAAAATCATACTAGTCAACTCTAGTTACTGTGTATTAGACTCCTGCAGGTGGTTGGATGTGTCGTACCTCTGTGAGCTGCAGGTGGTTGTGGGTCTCTCGTAGTTCCTCCTCAGTGCGACTCCTTTAGGATCCTTGGGCTCTGAGAGCGGCTGGTTGTCCTGGATGATTCCCTGGATCACGGAGCCGCCGCTCTTCTTCACCCGCTTCAGGTCGACGACGTAGGACGAAACGCTGGAGAGCTGGTGAGACACACCGATCTGACGGTAGAGGAGAAGAACAAGAAGAAGAGAGACCTGATATGATGTCTGGAATTCAGGCTGAAAAAGGCGAGACTTCCTGTGGGCGGAGCTACACACCAGCTGCTGGTTGCACACTGCCAGGTCAGAGACTTTCCCCCAGCCCACCGGCACCACGTCGAAGCAGCGGTCGGGCTCCCAGCCGAAGACCCGCAGAGAGTCTGTGGCCCCGCTGTACACACAGCTGCCGTCCGGACTAAAAAATATACACCTGAAACCACAAGTCAGAGGTCAGAGGTCACACTCCAGCAGCACGCTGTCTGACCTGCTACACTCACCTGACTGGAGTCGTGTCTCCCTCCAACGAGCCGATCATTGTGAATTTCTCCAGATCCCAGAGTTTGATGGTCCTGAAGAAAACAGACACACAAACACGTCAACATGTCAACACACTGTCCAGCAGGGGTCAGTGTCACACACACACACACACACACACAACACCTGAGTAACACATCATGATGAAACAGAGTTGACAAGGAGAAGAAAACTTTACATCATATATGAGAATCTGTCCTGTCATGACGCTGATGTTCAAAAGACACAGAGAGTCGACAGGAAACATTTAGAGCAAAGAATCAATAACTGATCAATCATTTTGAAATCAAATCAGTATGAATAGAGCTCACTAACCAATCAGCTCAGTGGAAACACTGAGTCATCCTTCCTACAGTCGCAGTGACTCACAGTAAACAATAAAGAACGTGTTTGATGGAGGAGTGTCACCTGGATCAACAGGAACAGTAAACTGGGTGGAGACCACAGTTGCGTGAACTGTGTTCAGTCTGAACAGCAGCTAACATCTGTCTGCAGATGTGAATCAGTGACAGACTCTGTCCAGTTCAGGTGGAGGTGTCATACCTGTCGCAGCTGCCTGATGCCAGCAGGTACTCGTTGGGGTGGAACTGGACGATGTTGACAGCTGCAGTGTGAGATCTGAACTCGGTGATGGTCTTCCCCTGAGTCAGGTCCCACAGCTGAGAGACAAGAGACAGAGACACTAATGATGGAAACAGCCATAATTATCAGATCATTAGTTTTTGATACTTGGAGGTTTGATTTTTTTTGCTGCATCAACAGCAGATGAACGTTAGTGTCAGTTTGTACCTTGACGGTGCAGTCGTCACTTGCTGAAGCCAACCACTTCCCATCTGGACTGAAGGCCAGACTCCTCACCGCCTGGGTGTGACCCTGAAACACAAACTCAACTTCATCTCTGTTGTGGTAAATCATGTGTTGACATCTGATATGAAAGACCTGAGTTCTCATTTTAGATTCTGGAAGCTGAGACATTCAACAACTTGAACCACAAAGAATCGAGGTGAGGAATTTCTGAGGAAACACTCTTCAACATTATTCATTTTAAAATGTGGTTTACAGAAGAGCCAGCTTCCAGATCCCACACACACACACACACACATTTCTTACCTTATACCTGAACACATATCCTTTCCTCCGCACGTCCCACAGCTGACAGAGTTGGACCAGATTCACATCGTTCACATGAGACAAAAAGAAAAAGAAAAATTCCATTAATGCAGATTATGAACACAAACACACATTCTCAAACACGTTTTACAAACACACACACACACACACCTTGATGTTTGTGTCCAGGGAACTGGAGGCCAGGAAGTCTCCAAACGGATGGAAGCCCAGACTGGTGATGTTGGCTTTGTGTCCCATCAGAGTCCTTAAAACTGGAGAAGAGGAAGCAGCAGATAAACTGACAGACTCACCTGGACTGTGCAGGTGTTCAGGTCTCTGTTTATATATACACACACACACACACACACACACACACACAAAGAGAACAAAGTGGGTCTCACTCTTGGCGGCCTCCAGGTCCCAAACTCGTATCGATCCAGACTGTGAACCAGCGACAACCTGCTCCTCTGACATGTTGAACTGGACACACTCCACTGGGTTCTTGTGACCAGTCAGACTCTGACAGACCACGCACACACACGCACATAGCACGCATGCACATAGCACGTACATAGCACGTACATAGCACGCACGCACACACACACACACACACACACACACACAGAGTCAGGTTACATTTCATTTAACAGCTGCTGTGAACCTTTCACTTTGCTGGACATGACAGATGTGGTTCAGATCAGAGGTCTGCAGGTGAGGAGGTCTCACCATGATGCAGTTGGCCTTGCTCACAGCCCAGATGTTCACCCTGCAGTCTTCTCCTCCTGTGGCCAGCAGGCGGCCGGAGCTTTTCCCCAGAGCCAAACAGGAAACGCTGCTGGAGTGAGCCTCGAACTCCTCTGTACAGCAACACAGGAGGGACATTTAGTTCTGACCTGCTGGAGAAGAAGCTGGAGCTGCTGCAGCAGCGTCTCTACAGAGCTGCACTGACTGAGAAAGTTTATCAACTGGATATCAGCAACTCGGCAACAAGAGGCAGTGATGGTGGCTCTATTGCTCACATGTTGTTCTGTGTTCTTTGTGGGGATCTGCAGGATTAAAGGTGTATCCTGTAGAGGGCAGATTAGAGTCAAATCCTCCCTGTCTGAAACCAGAAGCTCTTCGGTGTAACAGAAGTAAACACGTTGAAGTTACTGTGTTCTAATAAAAGATAGTTTGTTTCTCTTCCAGGTTTTCCTCTAAGGTTGTCCTGGTTTCTTCACACCCTGCTGTTGATGCAGCGCCCCCTACAGGTCATGGACTTTATTACCACGACAGACCCACACAACAAACACTCAGAATAAAAACAGGAAAAACAATCTAAACCTAGAGAAGCAGCAGAAAATGGATGTTTGAATTAACCAATTAAAAAGTTTATTAAAGTTTCTGAGAGTATTCAAATGTTTAATGGGAGTAAAAATGTTTTGCTGCACTGACAGAAGAATCAGGTGATTGTTAATGTGTGTGTCAGTCAGTCACATCAGCAGCTCCAGTTTTCAGTCTGAACCACAGATGACGTTTCACAGGAAAAATAAAGTCTGTACTCACGCAGTCGCCATGAGATCTTGGTGGTGCTGGCTGCAGCCATACTGGTCACACTGGGAGACTGGCTGCTTTGTTTGAATGACTGGACACTTCTGAGGTTAATTCATGAATTCAGTCCGGATCACTGAGGACCGACATCAGCTTCTCATTTACTCTGTAGACTCTCCTCCACCTGCAGTGACACACACCTGTTTACTGTCCATGTCAGTGAATCACTGATGGTCAACAGTTTCACTTTTTTTTTTCCAACATATTTTCATCCGTTTCACATTGAACGCAGCTTTTCAGCAGCAACCTCAGTCTGATGCCTTCAGCTGTTATTGTTTCTTTTGACACAGCCTCTGTGAACCCTCCTGGATCCTGGTCCCACAGTCACACAGACTCCAGATCTTAGGATGGGTTCTCATTATTTCATGTAAATCTTAGATTTACATGAAATTATATATATATATATATTATATATATATATATGTCAGTATTGTTCTAAGATTGTTACACACACACATTTAAAAGTTTGAAGTTTGAAAATGTTCATGTCAAGATAAATAAAGTTTTATCAATGTATCTTTTTATTGACATCATGCAGACATGATTGCTCACACTGTTTTTATTTATTTATTATCATTATTATTATTATTATTATTAATAATTGTAACTTAGTTCTCTGTGCAATTTATTTATTGTGTCTCAGGTGTTGGTTCACCTGTAGGCTCATTCTGGAGGTCGTACTTAGTGCTGTTGAAGTGTGTTGTGTTATACTGAGAGGTGTTTCCGATATTTTGTCCATCACCTTTTTACAGTGATAAACTAATAATTATTAGAAACACCTTTCACTACAACACAACACGGTTCAACAGCAGCACAAACTACATCCTCCAGGTACAAGTGAATCAACACCTGTCTGAATCAGGAAAACACAAACTGAACTTTATGACCTGATTTATTGCAGGACTGCTGGACTTAGTATTAGGCAGGTGTTAAAAATTGGACACTGAGACTGAAATCTGTCTGAATACTTTGAATTTTAACAAAACCAATGAGACATTAAAAAAAGACATTAAATATGATTGAGACGTTGTCGGTGGTGAAACGGCTGAAACTCTGAAACGAGTCACAAAAACAGTGAAGCAGCCCTTTATAAGGCAGCTAGCTTAATGCTAAAATACCATTTGGAAAGCCACGCAGCTAATTAATCACACGACAGTTCACACAATAGGTCAGATTAAAAGTCTGAAGAGCAGACGGGACGCTCCGGTCTGTTTATTTGGTTTAATCTCCGGTAAACGGTGACGTTAGCTGACCAACATTAAAGTCAGTTAGCACTGTGAGCTAATTAAAGCTAGCTGTTATCTGAGCCGTTACCGTCAGTTTACCTCCGCCCGTCCACCGCAGTTAACCATCTGAACGGAGAGGTGAATGTTTAAACGTTAAACAGTGCGCAGATAATCCGTCTCAGCCGCTGAGGACAACTTGTTGACAGTCCGGTTGCTCCTCGGCTGCAGCTTAGCAACTGAACACCCCAGCAACCGGCCGTTTACTTCCGCTGCCGTCAAACACAACTTTATTAACAACGATTGACAAGTAGTTCTGTTGTGCTACTGTCTGGTAGCTTGTCCTATAGGATCTCAAAAAGACAAATAGGTCCTGCCTTATATATATATATATATATATATATATATATGGTACGCACTTTTTTTCACTACATTACCTTTACCTGACAGTTACTAGTTACTTTTCAGATTAAGAATTTACACACAAAACATACGATGAGTTTTTAAATGACAGATTCTTTAGGACCAAAAGACCCTAAGATTAAAATCAAATGTTTAAACTTGTTAATGTCCTCATGTTTTTGTATAATAAAAGACATATGTTGAGGGAAATAATCATCAACACCGTGAGTGTTTCTACCTTGAACTGCGGTGAACCAATGACAAGACAGTCAGGGTTTCATACCTCTCAAACCTAAGGAACCAATCCTGTCAACTTGTGGGGATGAGGGGCGGGGCTAAATAAACCTGAAACCTTGTCAGTACAGAGAGAGAGTTAGCATTAGCACAACCGCTATCACTGTGTCAGTTACTGCCAGTTACAGGCTAACAAACAACATAATCAAATAAAAGATACTAACTACGCTAACCGTTCTGATCAGTCTGCTAGTCTCTGGCTCTGGGTCTGACCGAGGCTCAGACATGTGGCTGAGTCTCTGATGTTTCCTCCTCTCACCATCTTGATGCTCTCTGCTCTTTCACCTGTCCACCTGGAGCCAGCAGGTGGTGGGCGGGGCTCAAGGCCTGAGTAAGTAGATATGCTTCAGATCCAGTTTATGTGTCAAAAAATGTTAAACTAAATATGAATCATAGCAGAGGATTTTACAGAGTTTAAAACATGTCTGGAGAGTAACTTTAAACCACCCAGCAGCATAAAGAAGGTAAAAGTAGCTACAACATTAAAGAACTGCAATAAGCAGCCTACAGTAAAGTAATGTGCTCATCCAACATCTGATTTACTGAGGATATATTTGAATATCTCCATTAATCTAAAGTAACAAATGTTTATCACATGAATAAAATAGGTGAACTGTTGTTTTGGTACTATAAGACACAAACTGTCCCCAGATATAAAGTTAATGTTTACACAGAAAACTGCAAACATCTGTAAATAAACACTGACAGGTAAAAAAAATCAATCATCATCATTTTTATTGGTGAATAACATATTAACATGAGTATTTTACAGTTAAACTTCTGAAATAGTTAAAAAAAAGAAGCTATTTTCATATGTTTAGACTGTTAAACACACTGGACTCTGCAGACTCGTTTCCTTGGACAATCTATCTGCAGTAAGATCTATCTCTATGTATTATTTCATTAGTTTGTTCATCACACAGGTGTGCAGTTACTCAAAAGGTGTACCATTTTAATAATCGCTAATTAATCTGGTTTTGCATTATTGTTATAAATCCTCGAGCGATCCTTTCCATTGACACACCAGAAAACTGGTGATCATGGTCTGTTAGAGCTTTGACGTGAAGATATGCATGGAGAACTGTATCAGCTGAGGGGAACTGCTCTCCCGTGGTCAACTCCAAATACTCCACCACTCTGCTCACTGCAGTATGGACCTAAGGGAGAAACATAAGAAACCAGAATTACCACCTTGTGGTTGTATGCCTCCACCCAATCACATCCCTGTTTATCCAGAGTCATATAAAATATTCACCATTTGTGTGAAATTTTGTCGTCATTGCTGTGGGAAGCCTTGAGTAATGGCTAAAAGGTGTTTAGTGAGGTCAGCCTGACCTTGACCTTTGACCTTTGAAAGTCTAATCAGTTCATCCATGAGTCTAAGTGAATGTTTGTGCCAAATTTGAAGAATTTCCGTCAAGGCGTTACTGGGATATCGTGTCCACAAGAATGGGAACAGACGTACTTACGAACGTACAGACAACCTGAAAACAACATGCCTCTGGCTCTGACTGTCGCCGGCGTGGACGCATAACCACCAAATGTACTGTGATCTATAAATGTAATGTACTTTAAAAATAATCAAAATGATCCATTCACATATTTTACTTCAATTCAGTTAAAAGTTACCTTTAGCATGTTCCTTATGGTTACACATAAAGGGAGATCAAGAAGTATCTGGTCATTGAAGTTGTGCAGACCGCCTCTCCACTCCTGGTACCGGTACCGGGTTCCACATTGATGGCAGGATTTACAGTAGGTGGAGACATCTGGAAATCCCAAGGTTCAACCAGAATCACAGCACAGTTCACAACATAGTAGATTGTAATAAGACATCAACAGATCAACTTCTACCTTGAACAATACGGAAAGTGGTGAGGATTTTGGCCTCATGTGTGATGAGGACCGGGTCACTCAGGGGCACCTCTCCTGGGCAGTGCTGGCACATCATCTCCTCTGGGACGAGGTGTCTTGGGTATTGTTTTCCAACAGATGGAAACCGTAGATGTTCTGGCAGAACAGCAGGTAACCTTTTATACTTGAGAATATACTGGACCATGGCTTTCATCCTTTGGTCATCTTCTGGTGCATATGGAACATCACCCAGATCAGCCTCATCGTGACTGTCGTTGTCCCCTGTGGATGTTATTGTACTCCCGCCTTCCCTGAACAGTTCATGGTGAGTCTGAAGTAGATGCCATTTCGCAACATATTTGTGCAGACATGATCTCTTTGTCCTTGCACAAGGACAGTGCCACGAATTCTTTATTGTGTTATACGACACCATAACTCTTCCCACTTTACTGTTGGAAGAAACTGTGGGCTCGTATATGGATATGTATTTCTTTGACTGAGGGGCTCCAGTGCTGGACTGCACCGACAGAGGTGCATGATTGTCTTTGGCAAGCTTTTGCCGATCGAAGCAGATCTTCTTTTTATCCTCTCCAAACCACTTGCTGCTGACCATCTCAGTAAGTGTTTGTTCCTGCAGTTCAGGAGAGGAGGCATATGATGTGCAGTATGTTATGGATTTGAGGTTTATGCATTAATCCGCTTCCAATCCACTCCTCTGTGCCGACTCCATGTTAACCTGGCACTCTGAGGATTCACAGGAAACATGTTGATTCTCCCCCCACACTTTATTTTGTACATGCAGAGGAGAGCTGGCGCCGTGGAAGGATTTGTGGACTGCGTACACTCTGTTCTCAGGATCTATACACTCACTCTGAAGGTGGGAAGCTGCTGTTATGTCCTTATGTTTGCCTGTGTGCTTCCTTTCAATATGTCTTTTTACTTTTTTTTTGTTCAACACAATTTCGCATATGGGACATTTTTTGTGTATTAATGGCTGACAACTTGGGCTGGTTGGGCTGGGGTTGGTGGGGGTGGTTGGAGCTGGGCAGGTAGAAGTTATAGCAGGGTGCCTCTTCTTGCAGAAAGACAAATGTCTAATGAAGTCTGGTTTACGGGACAACATTGACTGGCAGTAGATGCAGTGGTAGTGCCACTGTGGTCGACAATCTAACCCACACCTGTGTATGGTGTACCCTAAAACACAGGAACATATAATTGTAGTTTATATCATATTATTTAAAAGTGTTAATTTTTAATAAAATATGAATCAGGTATCTGGTCACCACAATCAATTAAAAGAGGGACTTAATTAATCAGAATTAATAATAACATTCAGTCACTTTAAAAGCATAAACGCATCATGACTACATTTGCATTTCTTGAGAGAACATTTGGAAACCTTACCTTCATGGAGAACGGTGCAGTTGAAATGGTTCTCTAAATGGGTTCTGACCTTGCTCAACTTTGTTGGGCGGAACAAAGCCGAGTGACAGAATGGGTAGTGGAATTTCTTGCAGCATTTCCTGCAGTGTTTCAATTCAGGAAGAAATCTCCCCTCTTGGATTGTTATATGCATCTTTAAAAAGAGAGAGAGAGAGAGAGAGAGAGAGAGAGAGAGAGAGAGAGAAGGAGACAGAGAGACTGATTGGTCAGATTGAACATTGTGAGCTCATTTCACAGACACGAATTGACTCTAAACCTAGAACTGGACCAAAGGACATTTTTGATTCTCCTGTTCTGGATTCAAATGAATCTGTGTCCGTTAAGTCACTTACATGATGTGACCGGTGTAAACCTGTCTGCATTGTGATTGGACTGATTTATGTGACTGACAGACACGACAAGAAGTGATGTGCAATCTTGTGCATCTGCTCAGTTTAACTGTCTTTTACACTGCAGCACTTATTTCAAACTACTGTCCTCAGTCTCCTAACCTGATTTAATGTAATCTTGATGTGACTAATTCAAATATTTTTATTTATTGAAATGAGTTTTTATTGTTTTTAAAATGCTATTTTAATTTCATCTTAGTGTTATCTTGCTGGTATGTTTGGAACACAAGGAGTGATATTTATTGATAAAACATAAACAACTCTACAACGCACCTCCAGTGACGTGATTAAATATACAGTTCACTTCACTCATGGTGTAAAAATGCTTTTTCCATAAAGGGACCAGAAACAATGCAGAGTATTTGTCAAGAACATAACAGCAGTCACCACCATGCACAGTCTACAACTAATCTGTAAACACATCGCCTCAGAGCATGGCGGGAAGCCCCACCCACTTATCCCCAACATTCTACAACGTATTTAACGGTCATACTTACGTCCATCGTCTTACGTCCAGTTCGTTAGGGATCGGTGTCGCGAAAAACTAAGGTCCTACAAACGCGGTCCTGGAACTGCAGACTCCGCCACCAAGAGTATGTTCCTGCAGAACCGGAGGCTGCGGTTTCAGGGACTCTACGTTTTCACGCTAGCGCCACATAGCGAATGGGAGGCTGATTTCTAGGACACTACACCACAAAAACTGCCATAAAAGTTTATTCCACCCAAATTCTGCTTTTTGTCTTTTATACAACAGTTCCACGTGCGCCATTTTAGTTAACAGTAATAAACAACAACAGATTTGTTGACCTACGTAATTCTTCCCGCCATCCTCCTCTGAAGATCACACATCATTTAATTCAAATGGTATTTCTGGAAATTTTCATCTTTATAAAGTTTGTTACAACCTGAGATCGATAACGACCGTTAATATGACGCTGATTAACGGTTAACAGAAGAAGAAGAAGAAGAAGATTATTATTATTATTATTATTAGGTTCCTGTAGTTGCCGACAGAAGGCTGCAGTTTCGGGATCACGCTTGTATATTATTAATAATTAGATATCATTTTATTATTTTAAATGGGGCAGATGGCTGAAAATAATAAAGTAATTAGTTACTACTTTTAATGTATTTATAAGAGGGGGTCCTGACACTGCGGTCCTGCAGCAACAACCTACTCGACTCACACTCCCAGACGACGGACAGTAGGTGTCGCTAAGACCGCGACCTGTTTACGGAAGTGGCCGTTGCTGAGGAGCTGGGAGCGGGTGTTAACGCTGGTTGTCCCGGTGTGTGTGTGTATAGAAAACATAGTTTAATTTCCTGCTGTAGTTTGTCTGTAAACCTTCACATAAGAACCGGGTTAACCGAGTCTGTTTCACTGACAAACCGCCACCCGGACCTGTGTTCGGCATCTGCCTCTCCAACATGGCGGCAGTCGACGTGGAGGATGAGAGTATTTTAGCGTCGATCTTTAAGGACAGCTTCCCGGACAGCTGGAGGGACAACCCGGACTTCACCACCTACCTGTCCGAGCTGAGCTCCTTCGGGGTGGAGAAGCTGAGCCGGGAGCCGGAGCGGCTGGCGGAGGAGCGGGCTCAGATCCTGCAGCAGACCCGGGAACTGGCCTTCTCCAACTACCAGACCTTCATCCGCACCGCCGACTGCACCGAGCACATCTACCGGGACTTCGGCCGGGTGGAGAGCAGCGTGTCCCGGCTGCTGGACAAGCTGCCCGGGTTCGGGGAGAAATGCAGGTCGGTGATAAATGTGTGTGGTAATAAAAGGAATTGTTTGTTAATGCTGTCTGCACACACAGAGAAGAGCTGAAGACTTAAACTGCAGTTTAAAGTAGAGCTGAAACAAAGTCAGTTTGTCAATTTGCAGAAAATTATCAGAATTATTTTAATTATCAGTGAATCATTCATCAATATTAGATGCTGTGACATGAGAATCTGCTGCTTGTCTTTGTTTTATATGATAAACTGTTATTTATGTATATATTATAGACTTTTATTGTTTATTATTAACTATTTATTTTTTATTACTACTATTGAGCTGCTGGACATTTGAATTTCCCCCCAGGTATGAATAAAGCATACTATACTAAACTATACTAAACTGAGACCAGTGGTTCACAGTGAGGTCCAGGGACCCCCAGCAGTACATCAGAGGGTTTCTGTGGGTCTCCAGCAAAAAGGGGAATAATTTATTGTCACTATAATTCCATCCAATATTAACACAATGACAGAACATGTGATTATTCTGATCGTGGGTTTCAAACATTTTCTGTAATTAAACATCTAAAAGTAAAGATCTTGTCAGATGGTTTAGGATCCTTGATGTGAAAAAGTTTGAGCACCACTGATTTAAACAATATGGATCTTGGTACGAATCTCAATATTAAAGGAACACTGTGACTTCAAATAGACCCTGAGCCTTTGACGCTCCGTCCAGTAATCCATCGAGGACTGAGGTTCCTGATCAGGTCTGGTGCTAATGTCCATGTGAGCTCGTCCTGCAGGTCTGATGTGGTTTCTGTGTCTGTCCAGGGGCTTCATGAAGGAGGCGGAGGAGATCGGAGCCAGCCGTCGGATGAACAGCCTGACACTGAACCGCCACACTGAGATCCTGGAGATCCTGGAGATCCCTCAGCTCATGGACACCTGCGTCAGAAACGGATACTACGAGGAGGCTCTGGAGCTGGCGGCGTACGTCAAGAGGCTGGAGAAGAAACACTCGTCACTGCCGGTGATCCAGGTGAGTCCAGGAGGAGCTGAACGTGCTGCTGTTTAAGGTACAGGCCTGAAAACTGAGGAGGGAGGGAAACGGGGACAGTTCAGAGACTGGACACCTGCAGGGGGGGTCCAGGGTCGTGTTTGAAGACGTCACCTTGGACTCTGGGAAGTTGTGGACGGTGTCTTTCACTGTCAGCTGACGTTTAACAGATTAAACGATTGATTGAAAACGATAATTGATAAATGAATCAACAGTTAAATGTTTGTTTTTTAATATTTGCAGTTATTTGTCTGTCGATCAGCTGACCGACAGTTTCAGCTCCACTGACTCCACGTCTTGCGTTTTCAGGGAATCGTGCGTGAAGTGCGTCAGTCGACTCAGCTGATGCTCAACCAGCTGTTGCAGCAGCTGCGCAGCAACTCGCAGCTTCCTGTCTGCCTGCGTGTAATTGGTTACCTGCGCAGGATGGACGTGTTCACGGAGGCGGAGCTGCGGGTGAAGTTCCTGCAGGCGCGCGGCACCTGGCTGCACTCCATCCTCGCCGCCGTCCCCGAAGACGACCCCTACTTCCACATCACCAAAACCATTGAGGCGTGCAGAGTCCACCTGTTCGACATCATCACCCAGTACCGTGCCATCTTCTCCGACGAGGACCCGCTGGTGCCCCCCACCGGCGGGCAGGTTGCGGTGAACGAGGGCGCCATCTTCCACTGCTGGGTGGTGCAGAAGGTGGCGGAGTTCCTGGAGACTTTAGAGAGGGACCTGCAGCGGGGCGTGGGGGGCCGTCTGGACTCCCTGCTGGGTCAGTGCATGTACTTTGGCCTGTCCTTCAGCAGGGTGGGGGCAGATTTCCGCGGGCAGCTGGCGCCAATGTTCCAGCGCGTGGCGGTGGAGACGTTCAGAAGAGCCGTGCAGGACGGCGTGGACAAGTTCCAGGAGGACATGAACCTGTACACGCTGATCACCCTGCCCTCAGTGCTGGGAGGGACCATCCCCCCCGTGGCCCCCAGCACCCAGCCCGGCACCCTGCAGCCCCCCATGTCACTGCTGGACTTCCAGCCGCTCGCCTGCTTCCTCAACAACATCCTGACGGCCTTCAACGACCTGCGGCTCTGCTGCCCGCTCGGCCTCGCCCAGGACGTCACCAGGTGTCTGGAGGACGCTCTGAAGATGGTGAGTAGCTGCTCCTGTCAGGGGTCTGGGTCTGGGTCTGGGTCTGGGGCTGAGGCTGAATCCAAATGTCACCACAAGTCCAAGGGCCACTTTAAGACCTGCGTTGTTCCCATGGTGACGATATTTTGCGTGTATAATTTTGTGTTCTGCTTTTGTTAGTATTATTAACAGTGATGATGATGATGATGATGATGATGATGATGATGATGATGATGATGATGATGATACTTCTGCTGTGAGCTGCGGTCCATCTTTAAAGCAGCGTCTGGTGACGTCTCTGAAGTCCAGGTCCCTCAGACATGATGACCTGTGGATTTGGATTCGTAGAACGGGCCTTTGAGTCTGGGTGTTTGGGTTCAGCCTGTGTCCTCAGTGTTGCCGGTCTTGTTTCCTGTCAGGTGACCCGTCAGATCCTGGTCTTCCACCGGGCCGAGGAGTCGGCGTTCAGCAGTAGAGAGAAGGAGCTGTTTGTTCAGTTCTGCTGCTCGTACGCTGAAGACCTGCTGCCGTTCCTGAACCGCTGCCTGCAGGTTCTGTTTCCTCCGGCTCAGATCGCTCTCATCCTGGGTGAGGAGAACCGTCACGTGACCGCACACAAACATCTGTGATATCATGTGGTCGTACGTCAGAGTGGTGAAATGTAAATGTAGTTGTGAACACGTTTGTCTCCCTGCAGGTGTTCCTCCGACTCACCTGCACAGGTACGACAGTCTGGGCTGCATCGACCTCGCCGCCGTCCTCGAGCCTCTGGACTTTGTGCTTCCTCAGAGAGAGACATTAGCTCCGCCCCCAGCACCCGAGGTCGATATCACCAGCGAACTGAGCAGCCTGACGTTTGACACGCAACTTAAAGACCCAATAACAGATCCAGACCCAAAACTGACCCGGTCCGGTCCCAGAGACCCCGGGTCTGAGCCGGGTCCCGGACTGATGGAGCCGAAGTCTGAGGATGGAGACGATGAGACGATGCAGGACGAGGAGTTTTCTCTGGAGTGACAGACGCTGAGGCGGAAACAAGACTCTGGGTTTAAAGGTTTAAAGATTTAAAGGTGTGAACCGGGTTCAAGAATCACTCTGGGACCTGGTGACGGACGCTTTTATTTTTATGAACTGAATAATAAATTAAACATTTTGTCTGTGAGGAAAATATTCTGTTTCATGGTCAAACTGTCTCAGAGTTTCAGGCAGAGCTGAAGAGACTCACTGAAACGTTTATGGACAGAAAATGAATCTGATCAGTTTGATAATTGATTAAAGTTTTTCTGGAGGAGCATCAATCAACTTCATCTGTTCAATATCTGAGCTGTTTACTGCTGAGACCAAGTTTAAACCCTGTGAACGTCTCTGTTGAAGCTCTTTGAGCTGCGACAGGTGAGTGTTTACAGGTGAGATATTTATAATGACGTCAGAGCAGATTCGTCTGGTTCCTGCTTCTGACGTGACGACTTGTTTCTCTGCTTGGATCAAGACGTCACAGCAGCTTTCAGAGAATCACAGTCAGAATCTTTAAAACTATTGATTGATATCATCTGCACAACAATCCAAAATAATTGATCTGCAGCCTGTGATCAGGTTCGCAGCAGCAGCTGAGTGAAAGAGATGAATAATTAGAATGATTAAATTAAAATCTGACAAACTGAAACACACACCAAGTCGAGTCATTAAGTCTGAATGAGGTAAATGAACAGAAAGGTGAGTGATCACTGACCTGCTGCAGGTAAACACAGGTTTAAAGGTCACTACAGGTCACACGTGTGTCACCTGTCTGTGTTCAGGTGAACACGATGACTGAGAAACTTTTACACCTTCCAGTGCCTTCATGGAAACAGACGGGAGCGGGACGCAACCAGTTTCATCTTTGTTTAGCCTAGCTTAGCATAAAGACTGGAAGCGGGGGGAAACTGTTAGCATAGCTCCATCAGTAGATTCCTTCGTCTGGATTAAAGGTGTGTCTGAGAAGCTTGAGTGATTCTGTGGCAGATGTTTGTTTAAATGAAGAGAAAATATTAAATAAAATGATTGTGACTGTTGAACATCATTCATTACACATGTGACTCTGCAACAGCTGAAGTCAGTCTTTAAATTTATTGGGTATTAATATAGAAACAATATACTGATCAGTCTGGAAGGGAGGGGCTTAACATGACCTCAGAAATCCTGTATACAAGAGAAATGCTGGTTTTATATTTTAAAGAACATTAACGCTGTTTCTGCATGTTTCACCTGTCGGCTGAAAAGTACGGTGGCCCTGAAACTCAGAGCGCTGCAACACAACAGGAAGTGTTTTAACGGGACAATAAAAAGGGACGTACTGGTTCAATGCTTTGTGACATTTGAAATGAAAAACATTGAACGAGCGCGTCCCAGCAGGTGCATCACTTTTTAGTGTCCCCTGGAAACACTTCCTGTTGTGTTGCAGAGCGTCGAGCTTCAGGGCCACTGTAGAAAATTTATTTAAACACCACAGTCGTTACTGTCAGTTCATTTCTATGAAGGTGTCAACGTGCAGAGACGTGAGACCGTCAGCGTCTACCTGTTACACAGGTTGTCTCTGTGCTGGAGCTGCTGGGAATATTAAAGGAGCAGTGTGAACTGAAAACATGGAGGCTGAGGAGGGAAAGATGTGAATCTGCTCCTTTGTTGAGTTGGATAATAATCAGTTTATTACATTATTGGTTGTTTTTTCCATCATTTATTTCTATGACTAATAATAATAATAATAATAATAATAATAATAATATCCAGCTGTTCTGCAGCTGGTTCTTGAATCTCAGATGTTAGACTGTCGATGAACGCACCATCAGGGACATTTCCCTCTATTAAAACATGATGTGAAGTTAGTTACCTTCATAGAAATGCACTGAGGGCAGAGGCTGCGTCAGTGACGGGTCACATGACCCTGCTGGAGGATTCACACATGAAAACCACCTGAACAGTCTCTAACTCTCTGACACGTCAGATCAAACTGATCTGACGATGCCGTGTCTCCACGTGTCCTTCAGCTCTTCACTTCTTCTTGACAAACTTCTTGTGGGTGGCGTTGGGGTTGGCTCGTCTGCGGCCGCCTCCGCACTGCCCGTCTCTGATCTGCAGGTTGGCCGCTCGGCTGTAGATGTCGTTCTGGCAGAACGGCGAGGCCCCGGCCACGTAGTCCGGGTCGAAGACATCTGTCTTCTGACGAGCCTTCTGGGACAGTCTCTGCTGGGGGAAACGCTGGTCCTCCACCAGCTGGGGGTTACTACCATGTTTCCCTCCCTGAGGCAGAGGCAGCGAGTGCTGAAAGACACGATACAGGAGGCGTGGTGAGTTCACTGGTTTCAAAATAAACATGAACCTTGATATCTGACAGGAGACAGCAGGTGAATGCAGGAGATTTGATAACAGGGGTCTTGAGAGAGCTACAGAAGAATTCAATGAACCTGGAGAAGCAAAGTGGAATCAGTGTGAACCCTGTAGAACGTGTCGTCAGGACTAAGACGAGCTCACGTCCAGGAGTCAGGACGTCCCACTGCTGCTTCATGTTCATTAAAGACACAGTTCCCCCTCATCCTGTTGGATGTGCTGCAGGTCTCAGGTCTGTGTGTCAGTGCATCTAAAACCTGGATGGATCAGCTCTGATGACATCATCACCACAGGAGGTCACTGTGTTCAGACTGTCCCCAAGGAGAAGGGGGGGGGGGTCCTGATGACCAATAACAATAAACCTGCTTCTCCTCGATTCCTTTATGCAGGTGTAACGTCACTGTGTGTGTGTGTGTGTGTGTGTGTGTGTGTGTGTGTGTGTGTGTCTCACCCTCAGTCCTCTCGGGTTCAGCACTTTGGGGTTTTTGGAGAAGTGCATCTTCATGCTGCCGTCCTCACTGACCGTCACCGCCAGCTTCTTCAGAGTCTTGTTTCCACAGTGAGGACAGAACACTTTGTTCATGTTGCTGGTCGTCCTGGCAACGGAGTCAAACATGGTCAGAGTCAAACACTGAGCAACGAGCCTGAGGACGGACGGTCGGACAGACAGGTATCTGAACTGCTCTCCTGAGGATGAACCTTGAGATCTGAATGACTGTCCTGTCAGTTCTGTGACTGTGAGGGACGGTACGAAACCCGGGGCTACGTTTTTAAAGACATTATCGGTTCTGCTCTCGGTACTGGAGAAATTTAGAAAATAAATTTCCTGTTTGTTATAATAAAAGTTCTCACACTTTTTATCACCAACTCAGACCTTCGTCTCTGATGCGTTTTCACTGTTACACATGAGAAAGTAAAACCAGTTTAATTCTGTTTAATTCGTTTTTTTGTCTCTTACAAAATGCCAAGAAGAACCGGTAAGAGAACCGTTAAAGCACCGGATCGATGGAAGTAGTAGCAACGTTAAAATGTGAACGACGCCCATCCCCAGTGACGGCACTCACTTGAAGCAGGCGTGACACCTCAGGATGTAGTTCCTCGCCTGTTTGATCAGCATCCCGTTCACAGAGAGAACATGGAGGCCGATCTGAATCAGAACGTTCTGGGAGGAAGAGAGAACACAGCGGAAATCATTTCTAAATGAACTGATCAAACTCATCAGCAACTCGTTTGATAATCGATTTATTCCCGTTCTCCGCTTCTTTGTCTTCTATCACACTGAACTGAACATATTTGGTTTTGGACATGTCAAGACGTCGTGGTGAATTCTGGGAAACATTTCTAACTTTCAGACTGAAAACATTCTGACATATATCAAAAAATACAAATAAACAATATAAAGTAACGATGAGCTCGGACTGAAGCTCCAGGTGACAGTCGGTCCTGTTGTTACCTGCATGGCGAAGTCGGTGGTCAGACATCCCACTCTGACATCAGCAGGAGCCGTCCAATCACCAGAGGCCATCTTCATCTGTTTGATGTTACTGGGAGTGATCCAACCTCCTTCGTCCTCCTCATCCTCCTCTTCCTCTTTAGGCTCGTTCTCTTTGTCCTCGTCGTCTGATTGGTCCTCTGTCTGTGCTGATGTGTCCGGCCTGCTGTCTGACACCGAGACACCGTCTACTTCCTGAAAACAAACAAACATCATCACAACAGCCAATCAACAACAGCAACACAGTCAGAACCCGCTGCTGTCGGCCAATCAGGATCCAGAACGGCCCCGTTTCCCTGCTCGTGTTGTCATTAAATATCAGCTGATCATCAGTAGCAGCAGGTCACATGGTCAGCCTGAGTCCTGGGAACTCACCAGTAACTCCAGCAGACTGTCGTCGATGGTCGGCACCGGTTCCCTCCAGAACTGGAAGCTGTTGAACTCGTTGGTGTCGACCGTCACAGTCTGTTTCTGTTTGTTGTTCAAGTTTAAAACCTCCTCTGGATCCTGCAGGAGCAACGACAACAGACACTGAGCCTCCTGCTGGTGCCTCCTGCAGGCTGCAGGGATTATTATAACGAGCATAAATTATTATAACTATATTATAACCACTATATTAAAGTGTCAGACAGAATAAAAGATGATGAATTAGGTTTTACTGTGGGGGAAGTCGACCAATCATTTATATCCCTCACACTGATCTCACTCAGCTTCACAAGTTATTGATCATCCTGATGTTTCCGAAGGTATTTTTATTTTATTTTGAAAATACTTCTAAAGTAAACACCCCAACAACTCTCTGACATCAGTTTCTCCACGGTGAGGATCTTTTCTGTGTTTAAAGACATTTTTACAGCTGTGTTTTCTCAAAGCTTTATTTTTTATTCTGTTTGTTTTGTTATCACTTTTTTATTGTTTGTCCTCAGTTTCATATCGTCTTGTAAAGCACTTGTGTTGAAAGGTGCTCAATCACTAAAGGTTATCATCAAATGATTGTAAACTGGATATTATAGCGTCTCTGGGTGTAGTGGAAAGCCTCCCAGAATGCACCAGTGCAACATTCCTACAGTTCCTCTGTGGTTCTCTCTTCTTAAAACCATTTAATTGATTCAAATAAAACTCTCTTGTCTCCGCTGGTTCACCGTCAGTCGGACTCACCAGCAGCTGCAGCAGGTCGTCGTCCAGCGTCAGCAGCGGCTCTCTCCAGAACTGGAAGGTGTTGAACTGTTCAGTGTCCGTCTGGTGTGAAGTCTCCGTCTGTGTTGGCGTCTGTCTGCTGCTCGGACCGTCAACAGGTTTCTGCAGAGAGCTCATCAGTTAGATTAACTTCCTCACTGCAGAGCTAACCGGTCTGGACATGTCGAACTACTTACTTTTACCTTGGAGGGGAAGTGAAATCCTGCGACGTTGACAGGCGTCTCTGGGTGGCGCTGTGTGCCCTGAATATTAACCTGAAACAGAGAATATGTGGAGTCACTCTGCTGGATGCACACAGTCGACAAGCTGCATCACACAATCCTAAAAGACCATGTTTAGCCTAGCTTAGCACAAAGACCGGAGGCAGGGGGAAACTGCTAGCGTAGCTGTGTGGTGGTGGTACCTTGACCTCCGGTTCTCTCCTCAGGTGTTGGGAGCCGACCTGCTCCAGCTCCAGCTGGTAGGTCAGAGCCAGGACTTTGATGTCTGTGGCTGAGAGACTCGGGTAGTCTCCGGTCTTCTTGGAGAACTCCGTCACTGAACAGAGACGAAAAACAAACTGTGACTCATGTTGAGCTTTTCACACAAGATGCAGGAACAGGTGTAGACACAGGTAAACAGGTGAGTTTATCACCCGTGGTTACTTAGAAATCTTATCAAAGATAAATATAAACGGAATGAAAAAGAATAAGATTTGTTGAAAGATATTGAACCACAACCTCAATGACGTGTTCAGGTTTAGTTTATTTTAGTTACTTTAGTTTAGCTCAGGTTTAGTTCAGGTTTACTTTAGTTACCATGTCTGACATGTTCTGGATGTGGGTCTTTAAAGTGGAGCTGGTAGGGCAGGAAGGCCAGACTCCTCCTGGTGGGTTTGTCTCTGATCTCGTTCACCACTTCTTTCAGAGTGTAGATGTTTCTGCCGATTTCCTGCAACACAAACCAGCAGAAGGACGTTAAGATCAGAGAACTGTCGCTCAGCCTCAGACTCACTGCAGCCTGTGGAGGTGAAGATGGAAAATAACATGTGATACATTTCTTTATCTGATTGTGAATATCCATCACTAAAATAACATATAACATGAAATATTTCTTTATTTGATGTACTGTATTATCAACACTCTGTCTGTGCTCTGTATTTAGTCTCCTTCATCACATGTACGAGTTCAGTTTGTGTCAAAGTTAAATGTGAACCTTAGACATGTAGGGTTTAATAAAGTCTCAAGAACATTCACTGAAGTAAAAGAACCAACACAGCAACACAACTGTGTGAAGATCTAGAGTTCACTAAAAGTTTAAAGATTTAACATTTACAGTTCTCATCCAACACTTAGTCGATTTAATAATATTATCTGTTATATATTAAGACTATTACTGACACACAATCATGTCATGTGTTAATGGGAACTGCTCCTTTAATTGGTGGTAAACCCGTTCACAGCTGATGACGTCATGAACTCAACGACATCACTGTAAAGTGGATGTGGTTATAAAATAAACATTATGTCGACTCCCTCTGAATAAACCAGTATTTAAACCTCCAGTTAATCTCAGTGTGTTGTTAGACATCAGCTCCATGTTTCTGAGGGCCCCCTCCCCCCCAGCCTCTCTCTCCACAGCCTCTCTGACCCGCTGCACTGACGGCTACAGATCAGCTGATCACCTGACAGGTGAGTTTCATCTATAACGAGTCAGTTTGAGGTCGAAGCGGGAACAGTCTCACCTGCAGAGGAGCTTTCTTTAAAAACGCTCCTGCGTCTGCCACAACATGCTCCACCAGGGTCGGTGCCATCTTGGATCTATGACCAACGACTAGACCGACCAATCAGAAGACACGACACAGTCACGTGACAGATGGAAGCCCTGAACGCATCATTTGTGTTGGAAATTTTAAACACTTTACCAACTCCGTACTTTACAACAATTTGAAGGTGATTTTTTTTTTTTTAGATTAACACCATATATATATATATATATATTTTTTTTTTTAAATTGAAATATATCTAACATTTATTTTGTATTTGTTCTCATGTTTGTTGTTGTTGTTAACTTTGATATTGACATTTTACATGATGTTTTACATCACGTACATTTTTTACATCGTCTCGATGTATTCTCTGTTACATCGAGATGCCAGGAAAAGAACAGACATGATCATATTTGCTCATGGTAATTTTGAATCTCATAATTGTGAGTTTTTAACTAATAAGTTAGTTGTTTATCTCAAAATTTGACCTTTTTCTTCTGCCGGAGGAAGTTTAGAAAGTAGTCAAAACTTATGAGACATGAGGTCAAAAACATTAGATAAATTGTCATGAATATTTTTTGATTATGACTAACTTTTCTTCTTTATGTATTTTTGGCTTCCAGACCAAAGCAAGCCGAGGATTAGCGGTATTTTCAGAGACGTTATAATGGAGGAGCTATAATCGGCCACAAAATTATTATTTATTACATATTTAGAGAAAATCATCTCATTCATCTGGTTTCCCATTTTTCCCACAGCCCCTGAACGTAACTTCAGGTTTCATTGTGGTCACGTGATGTTTTGTTGACGGTAGAAGACGGAGGAAGATGGCGGCTCGCTGGAGCAGTGAGAATGTGGTGGTGGAGTTTCGAGATGCCCAGGTATTTCTGTCCGAAAGCTCCGGTGTGAATAACGGGACCGACACCTGTGTTCAGGTGTACAGGTGGAGCGCAGTGTAAGAGCGGAAAAAAGTCCCGTTAAACACCGTAAAACACAAAACTACGACCCACAGTCCAAGTTTAAACTGACACTTTGTTCTCGATCAGTTTATCGACTTTAATCGAATAATTGATTCAGTTATTTATGGAGGTTTCACCATGTTCCGGTCACAGCTTCGTCCCGAAAGAAAGAGCGGGAACAATTTAATAAAACAGGGAATAATATATACAGAGCTAATTCAGTGTGAAAGTATAAATTAATCACTGCATTTGAAAATAAATCAACTAATTACTCAGATTCATTGTGGAAGTAATTTATCTTGGGCTGCAACTAATAATTGTTTTCATTATCTTTTGATCTGTGGATTATTTCTACATTAATTCATTAATTGTCTGATCTGAAAAAAGGTTGAAACATTTTCTGAACTCACAGCATCAAAACCAGAGAGATTTCCAGCTTCTCCATAATCCACCAACAAATATTCACATTTCAGATTGAACCAGTAAATGTTTTTACAAACACTCATCAGTGGATTATCTGAGGGGCATCTGGTTATTGTTGCAGCTTCTCCCATGTTAGTTGATTAGTTGATTTGTAGAAAATGAAACACAAACTTGTGTTAAGTAATAATTTAAGTCAATTTTAAATTTGCATGTTGTTAAAACATGTTAGCATGTTTTAAATTAGCATGTTTGCATAATATCTGTATTTGTACAAAAATGTTTGCAAAATAAAGTTTTCAGCAAATGGAGAATAAATCGTGTGTTTGTTGTTGTTTTGTTTCAGCTGTTTGTCTTTAAGGACAGAAAGTCGTAGATCAACTGTCACCTTCTTCTTCTTCTGTGTTTTCAGGCCACCGCCATGTCCGTGGACTGCCTGGGCTCCCACGCTGTGCTGTCTGGGTGAGTTCAGGCACCTGAATGCACCACAGTTCTTCCTGTGTGTTTAGACCTGTGTGGTGACTGAGCAGCACACAGCAGACGGACTCAGTCAGAGAGCAGCTGGTGAACATTAAACTCTGACATCATGAAATGAGGAGTGACGTCAACCTGGTGGAAACAAAATGAAAGAAATCCTGTCAGTGAACACATCGTCACATAAACAGCTTCTTCTTCTTCCTGTGTCTCAGGCGGCGTTTCCTGTACATGGTGAACCTGGAGGCGCCGTCCGAACCTCCTCGGAAGATTGGTCGACAGAGTAAGTGGGACGTGGGGACGGTCCAGTGGAACCCCCACAAATCTGAGTCACACGTCTTCGCCGCCTCCGTGAGTTCTGCTCTACACAGAAATGTTCATGATCCCAAGTAAAGAAAATCTGATGTGAGAACAACTGACATTTATGTGTGTGTGTGTGTGTGTGTGTGTGCGTTCAGAGTAACCAACGTGTGGATCTGTACTCGTGGAGGGAGGGCTGTGGAGAAGTTCACACCTCCCTGCAGGGACACACACGGGTCATCAGGTAACAACAGACTTAAATCAAACACACCTGGATCCTGTGATGTGTTCACTGACTGTCCGTGATGTGTTCACTGACCCACTGTGATGTGTTCACCGACCCACCGTGACGTGTTCACTGACCCACCGTGGTGTGTTCACTGACTCACTCACTGTGATATGTTCACTGACTCTCTGTGATGTCTTCACTGACCCACCATGATGTGTTCACTGACCCACCGTGACGTGTTCACTGACCCACTCACTGTGATATGTTCACTGACCCACCGTGGTGTGTTCACTGACCCACCGGAATGTGTTCACTGACTCACTGTGATGTGTTCACTGACCCACCGTGATGTGTTCACTGACCCACCGTGGTGTGTTCACTGACCCACCGTAATGTGTTCACTGACTCACTGTGATGTGTTCACTGACCCGCCGTGATGTGTTCACTGACTCATCGTAATGTGTTCATTGACCCACCGTGATGTGTTCACTGACCTGTGGTGTGTTGCTGTCCCCAGTGATCTGGACTGGTCCTGGTTTGAACCGGAGTTCCTGGTCACCAGCTCAGTCGACACCTACATCTACATCTGGGACACCAGGTCAGATCATGAGCATGAAACCATCAAATGTGTAGTGTGGTGAGGAGAGGTAACACACCTGAGCTCACCTGTGAACACTGTCTGTGTGTCTCTGACTCCACAGAGACACTCGTAAACCCACGGTGGCTCTGTCTGCGGTCGGTGAGTGTTTGTTTATTGTTGTCATGAGGTGATGTGTTTAGAGAAGGAATTTTTTGAAACCCTTCAGTTGGTGTGTTCAAGGACACTTCATAATTGTATATTTAAGACAGGACTTGTGTGTGCAGCTGGGGCATCTCAGGTGAAGTGGAACAGGAAGAACCAGTACCTGCTCGCATCCAGTCACGATGGAGATGTTCGGATCTGGGATAAAAGAGTGAGTCTGATGTCTGGTCAACAGACTGAGCTGTGTGTGTGTGTGTGTGTGAGAGAGAGAGAGATAATGTGTGTTTGTATAATTTCCTCTGAGCAGAAGCCGAACACGGCGGCGGAGTACGTGGCGGCTCACCTGTCGAAGATCCACGGCCTCGACTGGCATCCGGACAACGAGTTCATCTTCGCCACGTCGAGTCAGGACAACTCAGTGAGGGTGAGACTCAGACACGACACTGTCAGGTCATCAGAGATGTTTCAATCAGAGCGAAAGACTAACATCTAGTTCTGGAACAAACACCACAGACAGAAATGTTTACAGACGCTTTTAATTAATTACTTGACATGACTTGAATTAAATGTTTCATAGAATAAAGATCCAGCTCTGACAGTTTTACTGTTTCCTCTGTGTTTGTGCGTGTTTAGTTTTGGGATTTCCGACAACCCAGAAAGTACCTGAACATCCTGTCCTGTCAGGTGCCGGTGTGGAAGGCCAGGTACACGGTGAGTATCAACACCTGAGCTCATACTGAAAACTCCCCAGGGAGGGTTAACGTCAGAGCAGCAGAAACAGAGAAGGAGAAGTGTGTACAGATATAGATTCTACATACAGAACGGTACTGATCAGAGTGAGTCTGATGATCCAGATCAGAGTGGGAGAGTTCTGATCACTGAAGGGATTTCAGGGTTTAAATTGGTCGACATACAATAATAATAATAATAATTACTTTTCTTTTTCTTTTATAATAATAATGTTATTTATATAGCACATAAATACACTAACATATCCAGATAAAATAATAAATAAATAAATCAGCCAATAAAACTCTTGGATCCAGTTTCCAGTTTTTCTCTGTCAGGTAACGTGTGTGTGTGTGTGTGTGTGTGTGTGTGTGTGTGTGTGTGTGTGTGTTCTCAGCCGTTCTCTAATGGTCTGGTCACAGTGATGGTTCCTCAGTTGAGGAGAGAGAACAGTCTGTTATTGTGGAGCACGCTTGACCTCAACAGTCCCGTCCACGCCTTCGTCGGACACGACGATGTGGTGCTCGAGTTCCGCTGGAGGCCACAGAAGGAAGGTGACCAATCACACCTCAGCCCCCAGTCTTTGTGCTAAGCTAGGCTAACAGTTTCCCCCTGCTTCCAGTCTTTGTGCTAGGCTAGGCTAACAATGGCTTCCTGCTTTGGTATTAATTCTGTTCTAGTTATATAGTTTTGTTGTTGTTGTTGTTTATTGTTGTTTTTGTTGACTCTACAGGCTCTAAGGATTACCAGCTGGTCACATGGTCCAGAGATCAGACTCTGAGGATCTGGAGAGTGGATCCTCAGCTGCAGAAGGTCAGAGTTCATCATCAGAGAGACGAGTTCAGACACAGCTGTTCTCCTCATCTGTTTATTCTGACGATGTTGTTGTTGTTGTTGTTGTTGTTGTGGTGCAGCTGTGTGTCAGTGACGTGGTGGAGGACCTGATGGAGAGGATGTCTCTGACTGTGGAGTCAGAGAAGTCTTTGTCCTCTCAGGAGCCGGAGAGTCAACACAGCGTCGGTCCTGCATCAGACAACCTGCAGGGTGAGACGAGACATTCAGGTTCACGTTCATCAAACTTATATTAATTAACCCACGAGACCCAGGATCAATCAATGAGCCTGATTGGCCTCCAGTCAAACACACACACACCAGACGACACAAGATCCATGAGTCAAACTAACTAATGTTCAATGTGTAGATGAGTTCAGCACAGAGCTGAAAACTGAAAACCTCTCCTCCATGTTTTTCCTCTTCCTCGTCTCTGACCTGTCGTCCTCCTCAACCTCCTCCTCTTCCTCCTCTCCTCCTCATCCTCCTCGCCCTCCTCTTCCTCCTCGTCCTCCTCTTCTCCTCGACCTCCTCATCCTCCTCTTCCTCCTCATCCTCCTCTTCCTCCTCGTCCTCCTCGGCCTCCTCATCCTCCTCTTCCTCCTCGTCCTCCTCGGCCTCCTCATCCTCCTCTTCCTCCTCGTCCTCCTCGGCCTCCTCATCCTCCTCTTCCTCCTCGTCCTCCTCGGCCTCCTCATCCTCCTCTTCCTCCTCGTCCTCCTCGGCCTCCTCATCCTCCTCTTCCTCCTCGTCCTCCTCGGCCTCCTCATCCTCCTCTTCCTCCTCGTCCTCCTCGGCCTCCTCATCCTCCTCTTCCTCCTCGTCCTCCTCGGCCTCCTCATCCTCCTCTTCCTCCTCGTCCTCCTCGGCCTCCTCATCCTCCTCTTCCTCCTCGTCCTCCTCGGCCTCCTCATCCTCCTCTTCCTCCTCGTCCTCCTCTTCCTCCTCCTCTTCCTCCTCCTCCTCGTCCTCCTCTTCCTCCTCTTCCTCCTCGTCCTCCTCTTCTCCTCGACCTCCTCATCCTCCTCTTCCTCCTCATCCTCCTCTTCCTCCTCTTCCTCCTCTTCCTCCTCTTCCTCCTCCTCTTCCTCCTCTTCCTCCTCCTCTTCCTCCTCATCCTCCTCTTCCTCCTCTTCCTCCTCTTCCTCCTCCTCTTCCTCCTCCTCCTCGTCCTCCTATTCCTCCTCTTCCTCCTCGTCCTCCTCATCCTCCTCTTCCTCCTCGTCCTCCTCGTCCTCCTCTCAGATCAGGACGGTTCTCTGATCTCTGGAGGTCGTCAGGACTCGGCGGTGTGTTCAGGTCTCCCTCAGACGCTGCAGCAGGAGTTCTCTCTGGTCAACCTGCAGATCAGAAACGTCAACGTGGAGGTGAGACTCACCTTTACAGGCTGCCTGGGACTCAGCATTAACACACCTTCATCATCATCATCATCAGGGGGCGGAGCAACATGAAAACATTCATCACTGACTCTGGGAACATAAATCACTTCTCTTATTTAAGAGATTTAAATAAATCTTACAGCTGTCAGTATCTTGATCCCACTCACAGGAAAACCCTTTCAAAATAAAAGTTACCTTCTCTTGTTTCTGCTGCATTAGAAAATGAAACCACTGAAGAAGAAGGTGATTTCATTTAACTGTGACAGACGATCTGTTAATTCAGGAGAACTGGAGCAGAAAGATTGAACCTATTGATCGATTGATTGATTGATTGTTTGTTTTGTGCAGATGGACGCGGTGAACCGCAGCTGCGTGGTGTCGGCTCACTTCGGCAGCCATCAGGTTCATCTGGTGGTGAAGTTTCCCGCCCAGTATCCCAACAACGCCGCGCCAACCTTCCAGTTCGTCTCGCCGACCACCATCCCCTCCGCCATGAAGACCAAGATCCAGAAGGTACAAACGCTCCTGAACGCACCTCAGCAGGGCGACAGGTACGACAAGCTGTGAGGATGATGAGTTCAGACGGCGTCTTTTCTTCTTCTCTGCTCAGATCCTGACGGACACGTCTCTTCAGAAGGTGAAAAGGAACCAGAACTGTCTGGAGCCGTGTGTCCGACAGCTGGTCTCCTGTCTGGAGTCTGACATGGTGAGGACACATACACACACATACACACACACACACACACACACACACACACACACACACACACACACACACACACATACACACACACACACTCACACACACTCACACTCACACTCACACACACACGTCGACATGATGCATTCACTGACCCCTAACCCCCAGGTCTGGACTGAACCTTCTGGCATGTCAGTGGTTTAAAACTGAAATTAATAAAAATAAATAAATAAATTACATCATCATGACTAAAGATGAAGAACTGTGATAGAAAACATCTGTTTGTCTGATAAAAAGTCAAAGCTACAAGCAGCATGTGGTACATGTAAACAACGAATCATCCAATCACAGAGCTTCAAACGTGCGTCTCTAACAGCAGGTGGAGACTGCAACTTAACTTAGTGCCCGCCCACTGTGGGCAGGTACGTGAGTCTACCTGTAAATCAACAGATTGGTCCTAACTCTCTGTCTCCTGGTGTCCTCTGTCAGACTCAGGAGGACGGTCCGGCCTCTGGTCCCTTCGTCCTCTCTAACCCCGTCACTCCGGCCCTGCAGGCGTTTCCTCGAGTCACCAACACGTACGGCTCCTACCAGGTAACACAGAAACTCTGATAACAAGACACCTGAAGACGACACTATTAATTAATATGAAAAATAACAGATAATGTAAGATACTAATGTTCCTCATCAGCAGAATATTTCTCCGTTTTCTGTTTTGCAGGATGCCAACATCCCGTTTCCTCGGACCTCCGGCGCTCGTTTTTGTGGCACTGGCTGTCTTGTTTACTTCACCCGACCAATCACCATGCACCGCTCTGCCCCGCCCACTGAGCCCACTCCCAGGTAAACAAAACAAACAAACAAAAACACACTCCAGGGAGGTTCAACGAGGCTGGAGTGTCGTCGTTTTGTTCCATGTGCTTGGGATCAGTTAATAAACAGTCTGTGGCCTGTTCCTTTAAGGCGTGTGTGATGTGTGTGCGCTCAGGTCTCTGTCAGCTCTGTCGGCCTATCACAGCGGAGTGTTGACGCCCATGAAGATGCGTTCAGAGTCTCAGAACACTCTGAGGCTGTACAGCGGCAGCCCCACCCGCTCCGACAAGGACACCGTCTCCATCTCCTCCTTCTACTATAAAGAACGGGTGAGACACACACACACACACACACACACACACACACACACACACACACACACACACACACACACACGTTTGTTGTGTAAATGTTGTTTGTTGTTGTTGTTGGCTTGCACAGATTAACCCCGTCTCTATGGAAGTTCGTTAAAGACAAAACGACTGAGTGAGAACAAAACAAATATGATCACTAATCAATCAGCAGGTGAAGTTTATTGAACCAGTAAGGGCAGGGTGATAGGAATCTTACTCATTATTGTTTTTTATATTGGTTAGTCAATATATCAGTTTGTCAATTAATTGACTAATTCGTTCAGTCTATTAAAATAGTATGTTCCCAAACACCAAGTTAGCTCATTATTTTTCGGTAATCCTGACCAGTATCTCCTCCACGGTCAGACTGGGAAAGAAATTCAGTCTTGGACCAATCCACTGGGACCGGCAGCACCAATGACACTGATGGAGCAGGTAAAGACTTTAAAACTCGATGGATTATTGACGGTCCACCTGCCGACCAGGATCTGAGCCAGTAGTCCTCAGTCCAGTCCACCTGAGCTCTGGTCTCATCTCTGTCTGTGTCTGAGGCCTTTTTACATGAAAACATGGTTTCTTCTTCTTCTGGAAGGTCACTGTCACCTGAACGCTGCGTACTGTGCTGTGACATCACAGCTGTGGGGAACAGTTCACATGCACACACTACTAAAACACAGACTAGAGAAACTCAGATTACATCACACATAGAGGGGGCGTGGCTTCGCCCAGAACAGAGTCAGTCAGAAAAACTTTTGAACTGAAAATCTGGATTTAGTGATTTAACATTTTCAGACATGGAGTCACGGATCTATTAAACTTGTTTTGTTCTCACTCTGTACGTTTGTAAATTAACTTCCATACAGAACGAGCGATGAGGCATTGTGGTGAACTGACTCAACCACCATGTGAAGCTCTGTGTCTTTTACATTCCACATTCCCAGTAAATACACTGAGCCGACGGGTAGTAGTGGGGCTTGGAATGTGGCGCGCTGCCTGACTCCTCCTGGTGTTTCAGAGTGAACGTCTCCGTCTCTGTCTCTCTGATGGGCTTTTGTTTTTTTTTTCCTTTTTTTTTTCTCTATGTTGTTTTTCTCCGGCCAATCACCTGTCCCCCATGCTGCTGTGGGCCACTCCTCCTTCTCACTCTCCTCCAATCAGAAGCTCCCAATCTCTGCCTCCCGCCGCTGGTCTGTCCAAACACTCCATGACTGGCCGGTACTGAGCCTCTATCCCTCCATCAAACCTCCCATCATCCCTCTCTCCTCTCATCCTTCCCTCCGCCGCTCCTCCTCCTCCTTTAGGTTTCCTCTTTTCACAGCGTTGGGATTCTAACATGTTTTTTTCCTGTCACTCATTGGCTGACGTCGCTCCGACTAACAGACTGAGACAAAGTGAACTTGAATTATGTGTTAATCTGAGTCTAACTGTAGAGATCACATCTCTTCACATGGGAGTCAGGTGTTTTTAAAAGTACACACTCATAGTAAAGCTCCATTTTTACCAAAACCAAATCCTGCAAGGTTTGGATGGTGGGTCCAGGTGGGCGGGGCTTGGTGACTGCTTTGTTGTGACATCACAAAGTTCCAGAAGTCCTGACGGCTGGTTTTAAGGCTCAGTTTCTGAATACAGGCTGTGTGCATTTCTCTGTGGACTGAGGCTTTGATACTTTCACAGTATTAATATAGAAGCTAGACCTGATCTATAATCACACTACACATGGACACAGACCTTTACACTGGAGGAGCTTTAAAGAAAAACTTCCTGTAGCATCTCAGTCAATTTAAACCTTAAATTCCCTGAATGTCAGACAGAAACGTTCCATGAACATCATCATCTTCTAGTGCTCATATACAGTGAGACTCCGGTGACTAGCATTGTCACTGTTAGCTTAGCAACCACCAGCCATGACTGTTGATAGAAGGAAGAAACTGAAGCAACAGTTTCTGGTGCAGCTGCACAACATGCAAAAAAGATCATATTGAGATTATTTTGTCAGATATTGTGATTTCAGTGTTTTTTCATTTTCACTGAAAAAAATCTAATATATATATATATATATATATATATATATATGGTGCAGCTCTAGTTCCTGTCAGTTTGCTGCCTCAGGACACAAACCTGACGTGGCTCCTGACTCCCGTGTCTCCTCATGTTCACTAACCTTTAACATCTGCAGGTGAGTGTCTCTGACCGTCAGAGCAAAAGTGGCTTTGAACTTGTTTTAATTTAATTTGGAGGTAATTTGTTCAGGCCACGTATTAGTTTGTTAATAAACTGGAAACTAACCACGTGTTCACACTGCGAGCTCAGAGACAACCTGACTCTGTTGAACCATTCACAGACAGGACAGGATGCTCTTCTTCTTCTCTGCCTCATTAGGAGTTGTGGGTGGAGAGCTGCAGTTTGACTTCAGATAAACAGCTTCTCCATCACCAGAGACTTTGTTCCTGCTTCCCAGAGGAGGAACCTGATGATCTCTGGGACCCTCTGACCTTCAGTTTGGTCTCTGATTCATCAGGGAGATCTTTACTCCATGAACTGTAAATTCTCCTCAAAGATTCCAGATGTTGTGATAGCAGCATCAGTCCGGCCTCCTCACCCTCCGTCAGCATCTCGCAGTGTGAACAGTCTCTCTCAGTAATTTGTCATCCAGACCACTTTTAATCAGGTGGTGCTCTGTCTCCTCTGGACCTGCTGTCTCCCTCCTCCTCCTCCTCCTCCTGTCTGTCCCTCTGTCCGTCCATCAGAAATCCCGCCGGTTCAAGACGAAGCGAGAGGGGACGGACTACGGCAACCGTCCCATCAAACTGGCTGGGAAGGTGATCATCCAGGAGATCTCCTGTCTGCTGCCCGTCCACAAGGCTCTGGGAGAGAGCTACATGTGAGAGACCAGACTGACACACACCTGAGATACACCTGAGATTAGAGCTGCAACCATCAGCCGATCAATTGACAGATCATTCATTGGCTATTATTGATAATGGATTAATTGTTTGTCATGGTTATTCCTTCTCAAATGTTTTATACTTGCTCAGAAACACCTCGACAGAACTTCCTCAGATTTGACACAAACGTTCACTAGGACTCAAGGATGAACTGATTAGATTTTGGTGGCTAAAGGTCAAAGGTCAGTGTGACCTCACAATACAATCAGGGATGTGACCTGAAGCCGTCTGAGTGGAAGAGGTGATTGTAGTTACATGTGACTTTGACCTGATTGAGCTACATGAAGCGACACCTCGAGCTGAGAGAAATGATAACCAGACATTTTATCAACCAAACGATTTGATTAATTGAGAAAATACTCTCTGCAGATTAATTGATAATGACAGTAATAATTAGCTGCAGCTCGAGCTGATATTCCTCAGTCTCAAAGTCGAACAGATCCAGGTCAGGTGACCAGTGACCTCAGGACTGTGTGTTGATAAGTGGTGTTGTGGACCGCCTCCTCTGTTAGTGATGGTCGCTCCAGTTTGACGTCGACGGCGTCCGTCACTCCAGTCATCAGTCCTCAGACGAGCGTCCTGGTCCTCGGGTCATGTGACTCACTCTGGTCACATGTTGAATATTTTAGTTGTTAATGTTGAACAACTGATGTTTCCTTTTGTTCAGTCTGAACGTGAACGACATCCAGGAAACGTGTCAGAAGAACGCAGCAGCGGCACTCGCAGTCGGACGCAGGGACGTGGCGAAGGTGAAGATTTTATCTGTTTGTCTTTTCAGCTCTTTTCTTTCCAGTGTCCAAATATGAAGACGACTTAACAAGAAACTGTCTCTGAAAATTCATTAAAACGTTGTTAAACATTAACGTCCCTGATCTGATCCAATCAAAGCTCCCAGCTCTTCCTTCTGTCACTGTGTGTGTGTGTGTGTGTGTGTGTAGGTGTGGGCTTTGGCATCTGCAGCAACCAATCAGGACCTGAGTCCAGATTCAGACCCAGACACAGAGACTCCCTGGGCCAGACACCCGTTTGGACGCCACCTGCTGGAGACGCTGTGAGTTTGTTTGTTACATCCAATCACAGCGAGCCGTCAGTGATCCTCTGAGATCACGAGAGTATGAGACTTTGTGTTGATGATGAAACTGTGACTTGAAGTTGCTGGTCTGCTGTAAGATATAAAATCAGACTGAGGGTTTCAGACTCTTAATGTGTGTGTGTGTGTGTGTGTGTGTGTGTGTGTGTGTGTGTGTGTGTGGGTGTTGGTGTTTTGTGGTGTTGTGTGTGTGTGTCGTGTGTGTGTTGTGTGTGTGTGTGTGTGTGTGTGTGTGTCTTCAGTTTGGATCACTACAGTCAGATGAGTGACGTTCAGACTCTGGCCATGCTGTGCAGTGTGTTCAGAGCTCAGGCTCCGCCTCCAGACTCTTACTCTCTGTATGGGCACCACCCCTCCCGCTCCTCCATGTTCCCCCCGCACCACTCACGATATGTAAGTCTGATTGATCTGTGAATTAGGTTGTTGTTGTCACAAACAGCTGATCATAGCAACAGGAAGTGATGTAACGTGTGTGTTTTAGCCCAGCTACACCTCCAGCTCCGTCACCTCAGGCTCCTGCTCCAGCACGTCTGACTCCATCACTACGACCACCTGGAACGCAGGTGAGTCTCCACAGCGCAACACACAGGCCGCCTGCTGCCGTTCAGCTGTGTACGACCAGGATGTTTAGATTCTTCTCCACACAAACGTTTAGTTTTTATTTCCAGGCCGAGACTCGGAGCACGCCAACCCCTGGGGTGAATCTTCTCCTGACGACTATCGTTATGGAAACCAGGGTTACTCAGATCCCCGGGAGCGAGAGCGAGAGCAGCACGACATGAACAAGAGGTGACGAAGCTCCGCCTCCTGCTCTTTAAAGAGGGCGATGGGAGAACTGGTGTGACCTGGTGTGTGTCTCACTCACAGAGCTGTGATGTCATTTCCTGTTCCTCTGCAGACTGCTGGACCCCGCCAACACGCTGCAGTTCGATGACTTTAAGAAGTGTTACGGTGAGATCTTGTACCGCTGGGGTCTGAGGGAGAAGAAAGCCGACGTGCTGAAGTTCGCCTCCTGTCCTCCGGAACCTCACAAAGGCATCGGTGCGTTTCAGAACCGTCTGCTGACATTTGAAGTCAGGATGCTCCGCCCACGTGCTAGGACCGATATCGACCTCTGATTGGTTCCTGAGCTTCAGCATTATCACAGATGTTTAATGTTTCATTATGCAAGAGAACGACACAAGTAACTGTCCTCACGATAAGTTAAAACTTTGAAAACGTGACACATGAAACTGATTTTACTCACAGCCACTAACAAACTGATTGTTATTCTGATGGACAGGAGCGTCTCTGACCTTCATACAGATGTTGGCCTCTGGCTGATGTGACCCCTCCTCTGTCTGTTTCCTCTGCAGAGTTCGGTGTGTACTGCTGTCACTGTCGCAGTCAGGCCCGTGGGACTCAGTGCGCCGTCTGTAAACGCCTCACCTTCCAGTGCGCCATCTGTCACGTGGCTGTACGCGGCTCCTCCAACTTCTGCCTGAGCTGCGGCCACGGAGGACACACCAGTCACATGATGGACTGGTTCCGGCGGCAGGACGAGTGTCCGGCCGGCTGCGGCTGCCACTGTCTGCTGCAGAGCACCTTCTGACATCACAGAGACCAGAGCGCTTCCTGTCAGAGGAGGAGCTGAACACACAGGTCTGAGGGACTGAGGCTGGTCGGAGCCCGAGGCAGAGACACAGACGGGACCTGAAGATGGCGGCAGCAGTCTGTCCCACGCCGTCTCCTGAGTGAGACGTCTCAGCAGCTGCTGGACAGACATGAAACCTGCTGTGGACGTTCATGTTCCCAGAGGACGGTTCTTCATGTTGCTTTTCCTCTCGTCGTTATGAAGGAAACAGACAGGTGTCACACAGAGAAAAAAAGCTTTGTGCACAAATGAATAAATTTTCTCTAAAATGAATCATTGAGGGGTTTAATTAACAGACCAGAATTAATTACATCAAACAGATTTTAAATTAGACGTCAAAGACAACAACATGGTTTAACAGGTCAAATATAAACTTTATCTGTGAAACGTTTTTATTCTCGTGGCTCATTTACATCAGATTCTCCAGAGTCGGTTTATTTTGCTGCTTCAGTCACAGCTTGAGCAGAAACTCTTCTCCTGATTGGACGAGACAAACAGAATTCATTTAACAACCACAGAACATGATGGAGTTCATTCAGTCTTCACCAGAGAACCAAACAAACTCTGGTGCTCCTCCATAACTGACCTGGGTAGAAACAACATGTCACTTCAGTTCCTGCTGCTGCAGAAAATGAAACATTTCTGATGTGAATGAGCCACTGACTTATGTTTGTGTCTCCATCATGTCGACCAACAAAACCCAAACTCTCAGGCCGAACAGGTGATTTATGCCCTGATGATAATACAGTGATATGATGAGATGTTTACTGTCCTCTGCAGCCGTTGTTCATCTTCACTTCGGCCTCATGTGACTCACGTGATCACAGGACTGGTTTTCAACACGTTAATGTAACTGAGCAGAGAACCGTGTTCACAGCTGTACTGTATGTACAAATAATAATAAAACAAGTACGTTTGAATTCTGTCATTTACTCAGAAACTTTATCTTACCTAATTACCAGCTGTTAGTGACCTCACTTCCTTCCTCCAGCGCCACCATCAGGACAAACTTCTGTTACTACACGACAGGTGAGACTTTTAATTATTTATAATGATTTTGAATTATCTACATTTACATTGACAAGCAGCATCGTTTACATATGAGTCTGTGAACTTGTATTTCTTGGATGAAAATAGCGGCTGATTCTTTTTCTGTTGATTAACTTATTGATTAATGGACCGATGGTGATGGATCAGCTGTGAGCTTCACTGTATCTGGAGGAGTCATGTTTGTTTCTGTAGAAACAGGAAACTCCAGCATCGTGTTGTTTGTAATGAACACAGCAGCCTGTAGCCTCATCATGGTCCCCACACCCCGCCTGAGTGTCTGCTGGCACAACGTTGAGTCCCTACCAGCTGCTGCTCTGACCTCCTGGACAGGAAGTCACATGAGAGGTGGAGGCTGTGGTCGATATCTGGACGGTGATCTGAGTCGACAGAAGACGCACTGAGTCAGCAGCTCTGAGGTCTGAAGTCTGGATACTGGGAACGGCTTTCCACACTCCTCACACTGCGCGCGCACACACACACACACACACACACACACACACACACACACACACACACACACACACACACACACACCACAGAGCTGCTGGGTAATGAAACTTTAACGACTGAGATGAACTCATTCAGACATGATAACTGATGATGTCACCAGGATCCATGATCTCTGACCTTGAGGATGTGAATCCCTGATCCTTCAGTCCTTCTTTTCTCCATGACCTCTGGGATCTCCTCCATGTTCTCGATGTCCCACAACCTGACGGTCCCGTCCTGCAGAGACAAAGTCAAAGAGTCAAACAGCCGCAGGACGCTTCATTCCTTCAGTAGGTTTTCAACATATGAGGAATCTTTTCAGACTGTTGGAGAGGTCGGTCTTCAACTCAAACATCTGCTTCAAATATCAGCAGTTTTTCTTGGTTTTCTCTTGTTTAAAGATAAAGAACAGTGGATCTGATTTGGGGGCTCTTGTCCCCACAGGAAGTCCCTCCCAATCAACAGAGTTCAGATTTGACCTCTGTCTGCAGGGGATGTCCTGAGAACAGATGCACAGACCTGAAGGTCAGAGTAAACCTTGTGGAGAACAAATGACTGAATGATGGGGAAGTCTGTAGGTGAAGGACTGACTCAGGGTCAGACGTCCTACCTCCATTAAAAGAATCATGGATTCATTGAAGTTGAGTTCAAGTGAACAAACAGAAACTTCTGTTAACTGTGAATCTGACCTGAGCTCTGGCACTGCGGGGGTTAAAATCACTGCAGGTAATGAAGACGATACCTTAGAGGCAGAGGCGACCAACTTCCTGTCTGCGCTGACTGACACGTCTGTCACCCAATCACTGTGGCCCTGTGACACAAGCATCAGTCATTGAACATGTGACACATGAACACATGACCTGTGCAGCTCAGTGAGTTTCACTACCTTCAAGATGAGCGACAGGCAGAGGGAGGACATATCCCAGAATGCAACAGTCCTGTCGTAGGAGCCAGACACCAGCAAGTTCGCTGAGGAAACACAACAGAAAGTGTTTGATGAGACAGAGGTGACGTGCTGCCGCTGCCTTGCTCAGAGGTCTCACCGTCAGCAGAGAAGCTGCAGCAGCTCACGCTGCCCTCATGACCTCTCTGCAGCGACGTCCCGCCGTGAGATCGAAACCCCCCCGCCTGAAGGTCCCACAGCTTCAACGTCTTATCCCATGATGCTGTGCAGAGGAAGTGCCCGTTGTTGGTGAAGCAGCAGTCAGAGATGACGTTGCCATGGTTACTGAGAGAGAAGCAGGAAACAACAAGTCAGGGAACTATCCAGGAAAGAAAGAAGCTGAAGCAGATTGGACAGAGCGTCTCTGTGTCTCACCTGTCGATGGACACGGTGGTCTTCTGGACCAGCAGGTCCCACAGTCTGATGCTGCGGTCCGCAGACACCGTGGCCACTCTCTGGTTCTGAGGGTCGAACCTGCAGCGTGTGATGGTGGAGCGGTGATGATCTGGAGGAGAAAACAACGCACCTGCATTAACACTAACACATGAATATTAATGACAGTGCGGAGGCGTGTGGCGCCGTCGTACCGCTCACGTGGTGCAGCGTCTGTCCGCTCGCTGCGTCACTGATGTAAACGCTGTTCTGTGGATCAGCTGCACAAACAACCAGGCGGCCGTCAGACGAGACGCTGCAGGAGGTCAGCAGACCGCCCAGCCGCCACTTCCACTGTGAGACGAGGATCGATGTAAAGGTTTACCTCCAGGAACACTTCAGCAGCTGCGCATTTATCAATGAATCTATTGATTTGTGTTCAGTTAATGGATGAGTTGTGAGTCAGAAAATAGAAGATCAATGACAATCAATCAATTATCCAAATTATAGCAGATGAATTTTCTGTGAGTGGATCAGCTGTTTCAGATCCAATGAATCATTTAAAAAGAATTAGATTTCATACCAGAACGATTCTAACGTCTCGGTTCTTCACCACAACAACTCTTTCTCTTTCCTTCTATTTCCAATAAAACTCTTTCATCTTGAATGTGTTTATATTTGTTTGTGAAATAAATGGAAATAAAAGATAAACAACAGACCAGACAAAATAAAGTCACTGTACGTTCACATACACGAACAGGCTTCTCTCCTGACATGAATAATTCTAGTCTCGGACCTGGGGACCAGGAGGTTGCCGGTTTGAACCCCAGAGCTCCTCAACAACAGCAGCAGAAGACTCACCACAGTCTGTCCCGTCTCCAGGTCCCAGGCCACCATCTTCTTATCCCAGGAGACTGTGATCATCCTGCCGAGAGTCCATCAACACTGAGACATCTGATTCTCTCAGAGACAAATAGACCTTCAGTTATTCTACTTTAAACTTTAAAAGACTCAATTTACTTTTCATGTTGTCCGTCACTCTGACGTCTCTACTGTTTAAACATCTGTTTCCCTTCACTGTATATTTTGTGTTGTTTATGCTGTTTTCTCTCTTTCTCATCTTGTACAATGTCTTAACATTTACCATGAGTCCTCCATGTGTCTCTGACTTCACCTGCACATTCTCTCCTTTAAAACTATAAACAATGTGTTTGTAGTTTTATGTGTGTGATAAAAAAGTGATTTACATGTGAGTTTATGTCTTTATTTTTATTTTATGTCAGAATTGAGTTTAAATTAGCACAAATGTTCCCAGTGTCTCTTTCCACTGTTCTGAGTTGAGCTGAGTGTGAAGATGTGAAACTGTGATGGTGTTTGAACCTCGTCTCTTTAACCCTCCGACCTTCTCTCCACCCTCAGGACAAACTTCTCATTTAGCTTCAGCGCTACAGAATCACAATATGATATAAAGATGATATGAAGCACAACGTGGACAACCACACCTCCATGTAGAAGTAAACACCATAAACACTGACGGACAGTATGAGAATAGTATTGATAACTGACAGGTGTTTCCTTTGCTGTACAATAATAATGTGAATGAACAGACACCTGATCTCTACTGAAGGAGTGTGTTTCACCTGAGACTCACCTGTTGCTGTTGGGGACTAAAGCACACTCAGTGATGGTTTTCCCATGAACTCCATCAAACATCCTCAGAGGTCTGCAGCTGTCCACATCCTGCACAGGTCAAAGGTCAACAGGGCATCAACAGCTGGCTAGTTAACGAGTATTAACCAGTCAACAGTTAACATCTGCCAACCTACGTCCACAAGGAAAAGACAAATACAGAAAACTGCTGAAGTGACAGAGATGTTGTTCAGTCCACGATGAAGGTGACGTGACATTTTGTGATGTTGACACACTGAACACACACTCCTCTGTGTATCCTCAGGATTGATCAGTCTGATCAGATTCATAAAGTTCAGTGTTACATCTCTCCTGTTCTCAACACACAGTATATACGTATACGTATATATGTAATATATAACTGTGGTTGTACTGGGCAGCTTCAGGTGTGACTGGGTGGAGTCTAAATACAGGTGGTGTCAGTAGCAGTAGTGGTTTACCCAGAGGATGGCGGTGCGGTCTGAGGAGCAGCTGAGGAGGCGGCGGTCGCTGAAGCAGAGTCGAGCTGCGGTGACGCTGTCACTGTGAGCTCGTAACACCTTCACCGGAACCTGCAGGTACATGAACACATCACAGCACACCTGCATGACAAACTGCACGTTTCACAGGTGCTGGATGTTTGCTAATAATTAACAATCGATTTCAAAACAATGTTTGAAGTCGTTTATAAAATGTCTCCTTCAGTGTGTTCATCAGAGAGAACAGAGAGGTTTAGATTTACAGTCAAATGTCCTGAACACAACAGACGTGTTTCACTGACCTAACCTCATTTAAAAGACCTATTATTAGATTTTTAAAACTCATTTAGTATCGGACTATATACAAAAGATTTATAATACACTGTAATATACTGTATCTGTAAAAAAAAGTTTTGATTAATCACTTAAAAAAATTATACAAATATTTAAACAACAGGAAGCTGCTCCAGCTGTTATTACCTGTTTCAAAACTTCACAACATTTACCACCCACCTCATCAGAAAATACAGAATTACACTGACATTGAGAGGTGCCTCACATTTTGTAGAAAATATAATGAAAACTGGCACTTCTGTCACTTAATAATAGTTTTTTTTACAACCAAAAAGTCAATATATATACATGTTTATATATTAAAGTCCATTAAACTGCTAAAAACAAACACTTCACAGGCCGGTATTACGGCTCTTCATTTTCCTTTCCTGTCAGTAAACGCACCACCATCTTGCTAGCTAGCTACTTGCCACCGTCGACCGTTAAGATACCGGTTACCGTTGGTTTTACCTGAGACTGTCGGTTCCACTCTCCCGCTCCTCCCTCCTCTTCCTCCTCCTCCTCCTCTTCTCCTCCTGCAGCCTCCTCCACCGACAGTGGGTCAATATTTGTCGACATTTCACAAACTGTCTGTAAAAACTTTGTGTTAGCTAAAAGAGAGCCGAGTTCTCCGCCGCGCAGGAGTTACCATAGCAACAGTCCCTCTGCAACTGCCGGACGGCGCCTTCAGGAGCTGTGGGACTTAAGAAAATTTGACGTGTAGAAAATAAATCGTAAAAAAAAACCGTCAAATGACTGCCAACAGCGGCTGCCAAACAAAAACCGTAAAATTGTTATTTTACAAATTTCTCCTAATTTATTATGATCAAACTCCTTTAATAAAGTGAATCCACTCAAGTTTCAGATTTTTCGGTGAAACCAGTACTTTCACAGGTACTCTGGTGGACCCACCCACAAGAGGTTAAATACCTGGGTCCTACTCCATTTTCTTGGTCAGACTAGTGCGGACTAGAGAGACCAATACATGATGAACTGATGAAGCCGCTTGGATAAGAGGCGAAACGTCTTCCACAGACAAATACAAGTCCAGTTGCCTTCGATTTAATTTGAGAGAGAGATTCCTAAATTATTATGCTCAAACACTATCAATAAAGTGACGCCACTAAAGTTTCTGCAGAGAAACTTTTTCCTAATAATAAAATTAAGTGTCAATCAATGAAATATTAACACAAGCTTAATATTGTAAAGTAAACCTTTTGTTTTGGAAGACAAAGTAAAAAAATACTGTGTAAAACAGATTAAAATCATCTCAAACTTCAACTTGCAGTATTTGTGTCAACATTGAATCTATAAGTGTAAAGTAATGTTAAAAACCTGTAGAAGCTCAATCTAAATACAATATTTACTGATTTAGATTCAGATCAATTTTCTTACATTTCTCATAAAATATAATATACTGCAGAAATGCAAATTAAATTGTTAAGTCCCTGTATGTAGTCTTTCAACTAAAGTGGGGTTGGAAACTTAATTACAAATAACACACGCACCACTATTGACTTTATAACACTTTTATTTAATATATTCAGATGTAAATTTACAATATCAACCAATTATTCACAAATAGTTCTTCAGAGCCCCGGGATGATCTGAAGAACTAAAACTGGCATTTCTCCATTGGTCTATCTTGCCTGTTAAGGTTCCTATAATGAGGAGGTGATGATGTCACCTCTGAAAGAGGGGGGGCTGTGGAGCTGAGGGGGGGTGGTCTGTTGTTTTTTAGCTTGTATCTTCCAATTCAGTTTTATCTTGTTTTCCACAGTATTCTCCATATAGTTCTGACAACATATGTGGACAAACATTATACTATCTTTTATGTCAGAATCCCAACTATACAGTGTATTAATAAGTCAAATCAAAACATACCACAAAGGTCAATGAATCTTTACCAGAAGTGACGGTGCAACGGAGCAGATGAAGAAAAATCCACCTTCAAACTGCCAGTAATCAGCTGGATCCTTCATCTGGGGAGAAAAGAAATAACAGCCTAAAGATGTTGTTTAATACTTTTATCATATATTATTATTATCATCCCCATATAAGATGTTTTACCCTCCTCTTCCCCTTTTAAAAATGAAGCAGAGTAACAGTTTACTCAGAGTACATCACCTTTCATTAACAGCAGTGAGTGACCGTTTACGTGCTGACGTCACTGTAGTGTCTCATCGCCAGTCTCTGGAGTTTCTGTTTCCGGTAGAGTTTATTGCTGCTCTATCTGAACACAGTTAATGTTGTTGTTTTCTTCATTACAGTGACTAACTACCTGCTGTACATTTAAACTGACCAGTTCTGCTCCAGCACCCACAGCTCTCTGCTGCTTATAGCGAACTTCACTGATTCAGCATTTGTTTACATGCTGTTTAGAACTGATTGTTACTTTAGCTTAGCAGTTAGCTCTGGCTTCTCTCTCTCTCTTGCTCAGTGTGTGTCTCGGACCAACAAATTAACTTGTACATAAGAGTGTTGTGTTTTTGTATCTTCAGAATATTGGATTGTGATGTTTATTACAACTTCAGCGATGTCTGCTGTCATGCTGTGGACACACAGCTCCGCTCGCTAACCGGAGCTACAAACAAGATAGCATGTTAGCTATTACTCACTAATCCCTGAGTCGTCATCTGGAACATGGTGAACAATGAGGAACTGGGTGATGCCCGGCGATGGGAACCATGAGTGGTAGGCTGGAGACAACAGTCCAGACCAAGCGATAGCTGCGCGGGAGACTTCTGCTCCTCAATGTGTTTCCTGGTCCTCTCTGTCTAAGTGTACAAGTGTGTACAAGACAGTTTTCACTTTACTCATTCACTTCACTCATTTACCTCTCATCAGTTCGTTTAAGCTTTAAACCAGCTGACAACATTAACACAAACTAGCAACACACAGTAAAATTAGCTACTTCTACATTGAATAAAATGCTATTATGGCTAGCGCGCTAATCGCAGTTAGCTTTTCACTTTAATACACGTTAATTACGAAGTATAAACATACATACTTAATGACATTTGTTTATCCGTCTATAGCATTATTTAATCCGAAATAAACTACATGAACACAAACAACGTCACCAAAACAATAGAGTAAATGTTTTCTTACCTGATATTTTTGCAGGATATAAATTCACTTAACTTCTCTTAGGTGACCAAACAGATTCCGTCCGACCTTTCCTAATATTCCAGTTCTCCATTAAAACCCTACAACTCAAATTCGCTCAAAATAAGAATTTGGCAGATTTAAAATGATCCAGGAAACAGGAGACCGAGTAGCAGTGCGGAGTACAGACACAGTTGATCAAAGTTAGCTCCAACATGTTGTTTACCTGTAAATGTCTTGTTCAGTGTTCAGTTGTTCTCAAAGACACTCAGAGGAGTCAGCGGTTCAATTTTTTCCGGTAAGTACATTTTGTTTTAAGCTTATTTCTTTGCTAGCCAAGATTAGCATCCCTGTTAATATCACAGTTCAGGTGACGATGCACCTTGCTAACCAAGCTAGCCAGCTAGTGCTAGCGTTAGCTGATAACTTAGCGATTGCTATGCTAACGGTACCTGGCCCCGCTGGGCTGATAACCTGTGTCAACCTGGGTTAGCCCGTGGAGGTGTTCAGTCAAAGCCCAATAAAAAGGTGAATTTAATCGTTGTTAATCTAAGAACGTTTGGTTTGTGTTTCTCCACATGTGACCCAGTTTAAGTGATCTGCGTTAGTTAATGCGCAGCGTTAATGTCAGTTAATACATTGTCCATCAAGACGTCGTGATAGTTCAAGTTAAGATAACGTGACGTTTACACAATGTGTAGACAGATATTTGTCATATAGAAGATTGTTCATTTGATACTCAAACCAGTCCTCAGCTGAAGCAGACATTCATGCACCTATCCTGACAGCTGATCGATATTTGTGATTAACTGTGATCCACCGCATCTTAACTCAAGTGTTTGTGTTTTATTGTCATTTGAAAGGTTTCCACACTGTGAAAACTGAGTGATCTGTGCCAACAGAAGGAGGACCTCATGTACAGAGCAGCCCGTTTGTTTCCATTCATCTGGTTGTGGAGAAGGGAGACTGCATGGACATCCTTAGTTCTCTAATGTGCTGTGATGATGATGATGCTAGAAAACCTCTCCCAGTTCATCTTCCTCTGATGAAATGACAGACCAACTGCTGATGAGTTAGTTTATTATTCTCTGTCTTCAGGATTCACAGGTTCAGTTTCTTACCTGCAACTTCATTTCTGCTGTTGTTGACAGGTGATGGTAGCAACACTTTTAAGAACAGAATTTATAAATATTAAACAGTGATCAAGTGATGGATCCTCTCTACCACTGTCACCACTTCCACAGGTGAAAGTATTTACCAGTTAACATCAGCATGTTTTTTGATCCTTCATTGTCAGTGTTGTCAGACAACATTTAAACATTTCTAGTATTTATGTTGTTGATTAAAGCTAACAAAGAAATAGTCACACAATGCTGTACGTGTTACTATTGTGAAAATTCATACCAGATGTGTTCTATAAAAACCATCAACAAAGTTAAAGCAAGAGATTCATAAATAACTTTATTGGACATTATAAACTACTTTTTCATTGATGAATGAATTTAATGATTTCATTATAAGATTGCAAAATGACAAGTGGGTGGGCTACTTGGCTATCATTAGCATTAGTTTTTTTTTGTTTTTTTTTTAATTGGTGAGAAAAAACAGGGACAAACAAGGTGACACAGGGGGCAGTAGCTTGCTAGCATTAGCAGCTAGCATTGGCATTAGCTTTTCTTTTGTTTTCTTTATTGGTGAAAAAACAGGGACAAACAGAACAGAGGGGCAGGGCTAGCTTGCTAGCATTAGCAGCTACCAATAGATTGCAAATAAATGGTGGGCTACTTAGCATTTGCACTAGCACTGATCATCAGGATTAGCTTCTTTTCTACAATAATGACATTGATTACAATGATAGTGTTGGCAATGTACGTGTGCATATACAGTATATAGCGCTGCCCCCACATTTTTATTAGCTCTAGCATTAGTAGTTGGCTGCCTGTCACTTTTCATTGATGAATTAATGAAGAATTTAACGATTACATATAAGATTGCAAAATGACAAGTGGGGGGGCTAGTTTGCTATCGTTAGCATTAGCTTTTTTTTTCTTTTTTTGGTGAAAAAAACGGGGACAAACAGAAGGTGACACAGAGGAGGGGGGCTAGCTTGCTAGCATTAGCAGCTAGCTTGCTGGCATTGTTCATTGACGAATGAATTTAACAATTTCATAAGAATGGAAAATAATATGTGTGTGGGGGGGGCAGCTAGCATTAGCATTTTTTTTACCTTTATTGGTGACAAACAGAAGGTGACACAGAAGGTAGCAGTGTAGATACGTGACAAAGTGTATATAAAGTGACATCGGACCGTGCATGTCTGCTGTTTGCTGCTGAGGAGGTTGTGGACAGCGGCTACGGCCCAAGAAGTTTATATATTCAAAGATGACAGACGGTAACTGAATCATTATTTTACTGCACAGTTCTTCAATACATTCTCCTAATTTTCCCAACGACAATGAACGAGTCACAACTAAATAAACAAATCAGTAAAAAAGCATCAATAAAAAACACAAAACATCAACTAAATGATAAACATTTTATTATTTAAAACAAGAATCACAGTTGTTATTTAAAATGAAGTGAGTGCGGAGCAGACGGGGGCTGGTCGTCCTCACGGAGGACAAACGTCCTGCTGGTTCACCAGGTCTCATGAGACCGGGCGCTCTTCAGTCTGTCAACACAACACAAGGTTACACAGGGGGTCCGTGTTTTATTACATCACATCACTGACAGGTTATAATGTCACTGTAAATGTCTGTGTGACCTCTGACCTCTTTAGCAGCTCCTCTGTCAACACCTGTCCGTCTCCATGGTCACCGCCCTCGTCACTGTCCTCTGAGCTGCTGTCTGACTCTTCCTTCTTACTCTTCTTCTGCTGCTTCACTTTGTGTTTGTGCTTCTTATGTTTCTTCTTCTGTGAAACAAAAGTCAGAGTCAGACCTGCAGCCAGAGTGAACGCTGCTTTTATTTATGACTTCTTTCTTATTTTCCAACCTTCTTCTCTTTCTTGTGTTTGTGCTGCTTCTTGTTCTTGTGTTTCTTCTCTTTGTCCTCTCTTCTCCTCCTGCTGGGTTTCTCCTCCTCACTGGGGGAGCAGAGGGAGGAGGCCCCTCCTCTGACTGAACAGGTGAAGAACAACAGGTAAAGTTTAGTCGACCTAAACACTGACACATGTTGACAGCGTATCCTCAGGGAGTCCTGAGGCCGGAGTGTTTCAGCTTCTCAAACTTAGTTAAATTATGAGGCTGAAACTTTCTACATTTTTCTTCTTGTCAAAAAAAAGCTTCTTGTCTCTGTTGATGAGAACAGGTCGTAATAATAAACCAGAGCATATTTTTAAAACTGTAGACAACTGCACTATAATAGTTTTATTTAAACCATCAGAGCAGCAGATGGGTTCAGGTCTGGGTGTGTGGACTCACTGTGAGCAGCTGAAGGAGGCGGCAGCTTCGGACCAAACTCCTCCTGAGTTGAAGCCACAGCTGTCAATCAAACAGAGCCAGAGTCACATGTCATCACATCACAGTATATTACACCTGCTCTTACAGTAAGTACATTAACCTGTTAGATCAAAAGTTAGAAGTCAAGCAAAATAAGGGTGACTTATATGTGAAATATTAATAATAATAATAATTAATATTTAAAAGGTTCTGGTTTGTGAGAGAGAGAGAGAAAGGGAGAGAGAGAGAGGAACGTAGAACCAGACGGGTTCTTAAGTCGAGTTCAGGAGGAGATCCACGTCACAGGTTGTTAAACTCACCTGAAACTTTACCTCTGTTCTTTGTGCATATTTCTAAAAGGCTGTGAGGAGGAAAGAGGAATGTTACCTGTCTGCTGGTTGGAGGTGGAGGAGGAGGAGGTGACAGAGGTGGAGGTGACAGAGGTGGAGGTGACAGAGGAGGAGGTGACAGAGGAGGAGGTGTTGGAGGTGACGTTCGAGATGCTGAAGAGCTTCACGGCCTGTGGCTCCGTTTTTCCCTCGTCCTCCTTTGTGTCCTCCTCTTCCTCCTCACTCTCTCCCTCTGATGAAGAGGACTTCTCATCAGAGGAGCTGGCGAAGATGGCTTTGAACAGATCCATAGGAGGCCTGCTCTCCTCCTCCTCCTCCTCCTCCTCTTCATCACCTTCTTTCTTCATGTCTGAGCTCTGCTGATCACCTGACCGTGTCTGTGTGAAGAGAACAGGTGAGTCTGTAGCGTTGTTGTCATGACAGTTACCTCACAAAGAGCCAATCAGATTCTCATGTCCCGGTCACGTTCCCGCCTCCTACAGGATGAACCCTTTAACTCCTCAATGGGTTCAGTCCTAACTCCGTACCTCTGTCTGATCTCTGCTGGGGGGGGCAGGTAGGGCAGGTGGGGCAGGTACAGAGGTCTGATCCAGTTTGGTCTCAGTTTGGTCTCTTGCAGCGCTGAGCAGTTCACTCAGAGCGTCACTCTTCTTCTTCTCCTCCTTCTGGTCTGAAACGTCCCACCTCGACTTCTTCGCTGGCTCTGGAGGCTTTGGAGGAGCTGAGGAGGAGGAGGAGGAGGAGGAAGTGAAGTCATGTTACTCAGAGAGAATAAGAAGACACAAACAGAAACGTCTCTTTCCTGGACCTAGATAATGACAAAACTAATATTCAGAGAAGGACTCTGTTCATCTGAAAAGTGACATGGAAAAGTTGAACCTGCTGAAACGTGCAGGTGAGTGAATCTACCTGTCGCCTCTCTGCTCTCTGTCACAGTCAGGAAGTTGAAGACTGAAAACTTGTCCCTCTTCACTTTGGGCAGACCCACCAGACCTGAGCTGCACGACCAATCACAGACAGACAGAGACAGGAAGTCAACAGACTCTCAGATTTAGTTTTGATGACATCACAGCTAAAGTTAAGGAAGAGTGATGTCATACCCGGGGTGGGGGTCGGGGACATTGAACCTTTTGCAGAGCAGTTTGTCTGGATGCCACTCAAATGTTTCTCTGGTCAGTTTTCCAAACATCTTCATGTTGACAGCCGCCTGTTTGTCATCCACGTCTCCCTGACGACCGCAACACAACAAACATCAAACAAACATCAACACACGCTTGACACCAAACTCGACCAGATCAGCTGGAAAAAAACAAACAAACAAAAAAAACTCCAGCAAAAGATTCAAAACAGGATTTAAAGGCTGTCGGCAGAGCGAGAGTCTGTCTCAGAGTCTGTCTCATTCTGTCTCAGAGTGTCTCAGAGTCTGTCTCAGAGTCTCATTCTGTCTCAGTCTGTCTCAGAGTCTGTCTCAGAGTCTCATTCTGTCTCAGTCTGTCTCAGAGTCTGTCTCAGAGTCTCATTCTGTCTCAGTCTGTCTCAGAGTCTGTCTCAGAGTCTCATTCTGTCTCAGTCTGTCTCAGAGTCTGTCTCAGAGTCTCATTCTGTCTCAGTCTGTCTCAGAGTCTGTCTCAGAGTCTCATTCTGTCTCAGTCTGTCTCAGAGTCTGTCTCAGAGTCTCATTCTGTCTCAGTCTGTCTCAGAGTCTGTCTCAGAGTCTCATTCTGTCTCAGTCTGTCTCAGAGTCTGTCTCAGAGTCTCATTCTGTCTCAGTCTGTCTCAGAGTCTGTCTCAGAGTCTCATTCTGTCTCAGTCTGTCTCAGAGTCTGTCTCAGAGTCTCATTCTGTCTCAGTCTGTCTCAGAGTCTGTCTCAGAGTCTCATTCTGTCTCAGTCTGTCTCAGAGTCTGTCTCAGAGTCTCATTCTGTCTCAGTCTGTCTCAGAGTCTGTCTCAGAGTCTCATTCTGTCTCAGTCTGTCTCAGAGTCTGTCTCAGAGTCTCATTCTGTCTCAGTCTGTCTCAGAGTCTGTCTCAGAGTCTCATTCTGTCTCAGTCTGTCTCAGAGTCTGTCTCAGAGTCTCATTCTGTCTCAGTCTGTCTCAGAGTCTCATTCTGTCTCATTCTGTCTCAGTGTCTGTCTCAGAGTCTGTCTCAGCGTCTGTCTCAGAGAGTCTCAGAGTCTGTCTCAGTCTCTTTCAGTCTGTCTCAGTCTGTCTCAGAGTCTGTCTCATTTTGTCTCATTCTGTCTCAGAGTCTCATTCTGTCTCAGTGTCTGTCTCAGAGTCTGTCTCAGCGTCTGTCTCAGAGAGTCTCAGAGTCTGTCTCAGTCTCTTTCAGACTGTCTCAGTCTGTCTCAGAGTCCACCTGTCTGCAGCAGCAGGGATTTATTTATTTATCTGCTTCTCGTCTTTATTGTTCACTTGCATCCAGCTGCTACGCCGTTTTAATTTCCCTCAGTGGATTAATAAAGTCATCTATCTATCTGGTGGGTGTGGCCTACAGGTGTCCACGCTGTCATCCTACCTCCTGGTCCCGGCTGACCTCCACGGTGTCCTCGTCTTCCTGGTTCTTGCTTCTGGTGAAGCGGGAGGAGAGCGAGGAGGAGGTGGGTCTGTAGAGGATGGAGGCTCGGACAAACTCATCTCTCTCCCTGCTGCGCTCCCACTCTGTCATCCCCGGGTCCAGACTCTGCTCCAGAGCATCTGAGACACAAACCAGGTTTACCTTTGAGCCCAGGGTTAGGCTGCCTGCAGTGCATGATGGGACATGTAAGACAGATCCTCCTACCTTTGTCTCCCTGTTTCAGGAAGTTCAGGTAGAGCTCGTAGCGCGCCTGTTTGCTGGGAGTCTTCTCAAACGGTCTGAAGGTCTGGGAGGAGGTCTGCACTCCTCTCCACGACACCAGAGCCTCCTGTTGCTGCTGCTGCAGGCCGGAGGACACCAGACCGGTCAGAGCCAACGCCCCCGACAACGACCCCGCTGACCGCAGCGCATCTCGGGAGTCAGTGGTGGCGGTCGTGGTCGTGGTCTTGGCAGAGGGCGGGTTGGAGGAGTTGCGGAGGTTCAGAAGTCGTTCCCGGTCTTCAGGTCTCAGCAGCTCCAGGACTGAACTGGGACCTGAACAGAAACTCCTGACATTAGTATACGACTTTACATTTTTATCACCTTCACTAAACTCAGTTCAGAACATGTCTGGATCAAACTGAGAGTGACATTTACTGATGCTGATACACAAAGTGATTCAATTCAATTATTCAAGAAGAAGAAGAAGACGACAAAATAGTGAGCTACTCCATGAATATTTCCATACCTTGCAGGGCATCCTCTCCCAGCAGCGCCCTCCTCTGGCCGGAGTCCAGCTGGTGACGTCCTCCTTGTTGGGGCTCCTCTTTGACCATGTGGCCCCTGGAGACCCTCAGAGCCTCGGCCAGAGCAGGGCTGACCCCAGAGAGGCCGGACATGTTGAGCGAAGGCTGGAAGCGATGGACAGGTCTGTAGTCTCGGGGCAGAGCGGGGGGAGGGAAGATCTACAGAGACACGAGGGGTTAGTTTGTTTTCTACAAAGACACAGAGACAGATCATCTCTGCCTTCAGAGCTGCTCACCGTTTTCTCTTCCGCTGGTTTTTGGGCCAAAGTGAATCCCTCCAGGATTTTACCGAGATACGACGCGTCTTTGCTTTTGTCTGAGAAGAAAAAAAATATATACTGTATATATAGAAAAACTTATTGTACAAGGTCTTAAAGAACACCTGAGATTTCTTTTCCTCTCTGTATTTGTTTTGTTTTAATGATGTTTTCATAGTTTACACATGAAATATTGTTTCTTCTGATTTAAAAAATGTCATGTGACCAAGAAACAAGTCAAGTATCAGTGATGGTGATGAGAACAAGTTTTAGTTTGAAGCTCGTTTTGGAAAATTCAAAAACTCTGATCTTATGTTGTTTTTTAGAAAATGAGAAACTTTCAAATCCGTCTTTATATCATCAAAATCCTTTAAGGATATATGTATAAATACAACAAATACCTATTTATACAATCTACAAACTTTCCAGGACGTGTTACCTCTCTTCTTGGTGTACTGCTGCGGAGCCGTCCAGCCGTACAGTCCGTCTCCAGGCTCCTCCCCTCCCAGCTCCCTGTCGTACCTGGACATGGAGTCTCTGTGGTACACGTCTTCATCGTCATCATCCTCCAGGGCCCCCACTCCGAACGCCTGCAGGTCAAAGGTCACCAGCACCGTGTAAGAGAATGACAACAGCCAACTTCCTGCTATTAAAAAAAAAAACTTTAGAAGCCTCACCTGTCCGGCCACGCCTCCTCTCCGTGAGCGTCTCTGCGTGTCTCCAAACAGTCGACTCCTGGTCTCAGACTGAGGCTTGAACAGGTCTATGTGTTCAGCTGCTCGTTGGCCCAGCAGTGCCAGGCCCGGGTCCAGCCCGCGGTACCCCAGACCCTGAACCCCCAGCCTGGGGTTAAAGTCCACAGGAGTCACGTCCTTCGGGGCAAAGGTCACGTTCTCTGGAGCGAAGTCGTCGTCATCGTCGTCCTGTCGGGAGACACAGGAAATATCATTTTAACTTTATTTAAGAGTTGAATGTCTCAGCAGTAAAAAGGAGGACGGTGTTTAGGACCAGATTCCAGAGGGATTTTCAGATGAAATATTCAGTCTCTGAGCGATGGCAAAGGCTCCTGGACAAAAGTCTGTCGTCAGCTGTCTCACCTCTGAGTCCTCTGAACCAGCAGGGGGCAGCGCACAGCCGTAAAGTCTGGCTGCATCATCTGTCAGGAGAAGAACAAAAACCAAACCACAGGTGTGATTACAACCTATTTTAAATCTCTGCACAGAGAGAAAAGTAAAACCTGAGACTTCGACTTTAAGAGCAGCTGGAAAACAAACGTGAGGTGTTGTACGACTCGGTCTGCTGTCGACGAGGTTTCCTCTTCACCCGAGGCCCGACGCCCTGACCCTCCTTCCACCCCATCCTCCTCAGCAGCTCCACCCCGATGGACGACCTGGGAGAGAAAACCAACACACCTCAGAACAGACTCACTCCCTGCACCGCCTCCATCAGGAGACAACACTGATTTCACTTTATTTATTATTATTATTATTATTATTATTATATATATTCTATATTCCTGGAACTGCTCTAAAATCAACAATCTGGTTCTCAGTGGTTGTGGGCGTTGACCGTCACCTGGCAGGTGCGATCAGCTCCTCCAGCAGCGTGTCTCCGGGGATCAGGGCGGTCTGGGCGTTGACGGCTCTCGCCTTCTCTCTGGCCTCGTCTCTGCGGCTCGACGAGAACTCCTGACTGGTGGTGATCTCTCTGGGAGCGATGCCGTGCTCACTGAAGTCCTGAAGCACGATGACATAAACTATAATCAATATTTACTTATACATTTGCTGCCGTTAATCTTTGTTTTTGTGTCTATGTTTCTCATACACTTCCTGATAGCCATCTGTAGTTACTGCGACCTTCTAACAGCGGAACTGTAAATTAATTCAAATAAATCTTCATGATCCTAAACACTTCATCCCATTTCAGGCGGCCATCTTTGTTTGGGTCAGGAAATGAGAGCACATCTTAACATGAGAGACAGTTTTACCTCCTCGTCCATGAAGTCCTCCGGCCTAGCATGATTTTTCTCAGCTTTCTGTTGCCGTGACGACACAAAGGTTGACGGGGCCCAGCCTAAAAACACAATATAAAATACTCACGTCCTGTTGGAAAAAACAAACTTTTTCATGAGGATTTGTCCCTCCCGGATGACCGAGCTCCTCACCCTATCTCTAAGGCTGAGCCCGGCCACCCTGCGGAGGAAACTCATTTCGGCCGCTTGTACTCGCGATCTCGTTCTTTCGGTCATTAACCAAAGCTCATGACCACAGGTGAGGATCGGAACGTAGATCGACCGGAAAATCGAGAGCTTCGCCTTCCGGCTTAGCTCCCTCTTCCCCACAACGGACCGATTCAGCGCCCGCATCACTGCTGACGCCGCCCCAATCCGCCTGTCGATCTCCCGCTCCATTCTACCCTCACTCGTGAACAAGATCCCGAGATACTTAAACTCCTCCACCTGAGGCAAAGCCTCCCCCCCGACCTGAAGCGGGCAATCCACCCGTTTCCGGCTGAGAACCATGGCCTCAGACTTGGAGGTGCTGATCTTCATCCCAGCCGTTTCACACTCGGCCGCGAACCGCCCAAGCGAGAGCTGAAGGTCGGCGCTCGATGAAGCTAGGAGGACCACATCATCTGCAAAAAGCAGAGGGCAATCCAAATCCACGCAATGTTGCAGAGACGTGTCAACCAAGACAGCCCTACAACATCCAGAGCCTTAAGATACCCAGGGCGGATCTCATCAACCCCCGGGGCTCTGCCACCGCGCAGTTGTTTCACTACCTCGGTGACTTCTGCCCCGGAGATTAGATCATCCATCCCCAGGTCTCTTGACTCTGTTTCCTCCATGGAATACGTGTTGGTGGGATTGAGGAGCTCCTCAAAGTATTCCTTCCACCGTCCGACTATATCCTCAGTTGACATCAGCAGCTCCCTGCCCCCACTGTAAACAACGGGTTGTGAGGGTCTGCTGGGAAAACCTGGCGGAAGAACCCGTCAAGATGATTTTCAACGCACACCTCCGGCAGAGTTTCAATTGCGTCCCGAGGGCGGTGGGGAATTGTTGAGTCCGAATGGGCCTTGTTCCGCTCTGCTGTTGTTGAGGCGGCTGTTGCGAGCTGCGGCCGCAGGGTGGCTGGGGCCAGTCGTGGCGGTGACCCCCGTACCCGCTGGTGGACACCAGGGGTGGGGGAAGCCGTCAGGCTGAAGAAGGAGGCCTACAGGGCGTGGTTGGCCTGTGGGTCTCCAGAATCAGCTGACTGGTACCGGCGGGCCAAGCGGAGCGCAGCCGCGGCAGTTACTGAGGCAAGGGAGGAGTTCGGTGAGACAATGGAGGAAGACTATCGATCGGCTCCAAAAACGTTCTGGCAAACCGTCCGGCGCCTCAGGGGAGGAAGGCGGCAACTCGCTCACACTGTTACTAATTACATAAACTAAACCATTTGTCAGAGGGAAGGAGAAGCTGAGCCTTGGACCAACACTGATCCAGACCCTCGACAAACATTCAGTCTTTTGCTCACAGACAGGTGAGCAGGTGAGCAGGTGTTGTGGTGCAGCACTGACCTTCTTTGGAGCCGACAGTGTTGAAATAACCGGCTGAAAACCCTCCAGTGAACGCCCCGTGGAACCTTTTATATCTTCCCTTCTCATCTTTGACCGTCTGCTCGTGGAGCGGAACGGGTTTCTTCAGAGGCTCGTCTGCAGCAAACACACAAACACACAGAAATACACACATGAAGACACAAACATTATATATACACACGCAACGCAATGCAAATCCAGTGCTGGAGAAAGTATTCAGTTACTTGACTTTAAAAGTTTAAGTAATCCTTCAGCAAAACTACACAAACTAAAAACTACTTGCTAAAATGATCATTCAAGAAGTCAAATAACAGAAAATTAATCACCAACTAATGTATTTTGATAATTGATTACTAAATCAAGTCTAAGTATAAGTTTATGGAGGATTTGCAGCTGTTCTCTGTCTGACATTAAAGATCGTTGGGCTGAAAAACTAATGTGAAGACATCCTCATCCTGGAAATTAAAGCATTATAACATGTTTCACTATTTCCTGATGTTTCAAAGCCTAATAAACTAAGTGATTAATCAAGAAAATAATCAGCACATTAACTGATAATGAAAATAATCTGAGTTGCTGCCACTTGATACAGTGTCAGATAATTTAATCTATAGAGGTGTTGAATATGTTTGTAGACTATGTATGAGCTCGTCATAAATGCAGTCTGACAGTAAAGTTAATAAAGTTAATGTGCTTGAGAATCACAGCTGAGTAAATGTGCAGCTGCCTCATCACAACAATAACAGTTTTGGGATAAACGTAAATATAAACGTGATATTTAGCGACAGATAATAACAGATGATTTACCAACAAACCCAGAACTAAACTTAAAACTAAATCTGGCTTGTTTTGTTCCCTTGTTTACTGGCAAATGTGAAGGTCCAAATCTGTCTCAGCATTATTTGCGGATAGGTAAACATGACCAAAGCACACCTGTTCCAGTAGAAATTAATATTCTCTAACTGAATATTCTCACACTGATTTGGTTTTCCCTCCATTTTCACCCACAACAGTAATACCGCTCATGTAGAAAATACGTGTAATGTCATATATACTAACACTTGAATTGTGACGTATGTCAGTAAAAAGATTTAAACAGAAATGAGATTTAAATGAATTAATCTGATATTTTATGAATCACATATCAACCGAAAACACAACTGAACGGTGACGATACGTAAAATATATTAACTGACCATCCAGCGGTTTGTACGTTAAGCCTGTTCGTTCAAAACCGTTAAACAGGTAGATATTAGAATGAAGTCTGGTTTACACACCGGGGAGCTAACAGCTCAGAGCCTGCTGTCAGCTACCTGCTCGTTAGCTTAGCATCCTGTAGTGACCGCTGGACCCGTCGCAGCTCTTTTATTTCCACATAAAACAACCAGAAAGTGTCGCAGTGCAGGCGAGCGGGTTGTCGATGTATTAAAATCAACCCTACCTTCCTCCAGAGGCTCCAGAGGAGTCCCGAAATTCACAAAGTCCTCGTCGCTGTCGCTGTCGGACGCCATGTTTGTATACGATTACGGTAAGAGCAGAGGATCAAACTTGGCGGCGGGTGGCGAAGCGATAATTATAAAACTCAGTATCACTAAGAAAAAATGGCGACATCTTGTGGTGGCAACGTGTGAAACAGCGTTAAAGGACAGTTAGCTTCACTGTCTACAAGTAGAGGACCGAACTGCTTCAGATATCTATCTATCTATCTATCTATCTATCTATCTATCTATCTATCTATCTATCTATCTATCTTTTACATTATTGTAAGAAAATTAAAAGTCACAACAACAAACTGAAACCTGTTTATGATGAGTAATGGTTCCTTCCTGTATTCAGCTGCTAGCTGTTAGATAGTCATCTCTTCATCTGTTTTTATATAATTTCCCTTTGACTTTATAGATATTTGCATCTTTAATGTGTTTGACAGCTGTTAGTCTTTGACTTACACATTGTCAGTCTGAAAAAATCTAATATCAGTTGAAGTGTTCGCTTTATTTTGAATATTTTCAACACCTTCAAACAGCCTTTTACTTTGGAACTACATTTTCTAACCCAACTGATATAAGTTTAAGTCTAAAAGTGAAAGTGGCCAGATGATCCACAGCAGCTCATCACTCGGCTCCTGCTGCTTAGAAGCAGCTCCCTCACACAACCCCATGTCAAATAACCTGAACTGTGACTTCAGTGTCAGACAGACGAGTGTCTGTCTCTGGCTTGGTAAAGACTTTAATGTTGTATCCTGACATAGTCTGAGATGTTGCTCCCAGCGTTGAGAAATGAGTCTTTCCATGAAAACATCCCTGTTATCTGGACAGTCTGCAGCTCTGTAGTGAGGTCTGAAGATGATCAGGAGTAAGAGTCAGTTAATGGAAATAAACAAATTATATTCCATTCACCTCCATACAGTTATCTCAAAACCTGGACAAATAAAATCACAGATAGCACTAATGTTTTTCTTACTATGTATGTTTTTATTATACATGTTAAATTAGTTAAACAAGTTTTAATAAAGTCAATTTACTGTAAATCAACCCATACACAAATGTAACATGTACATATAAAAGAAAAACATACATGTAAAAAGTACATATAAAACCTATTAGAAACTGGAACAATTCTATATACTGACATTTATGTCTAACCTGTACAAATAGGTATGTTTATGTATGCATGCCGTTTCAAATGAACTTTCATATATAAATTAAATATTTTAACATATGTGCTCGCAACATGTTATCATACCATATAAAAATTCATAATAGATATTTTTAATACATGTACATGTTACTATAGGTGTTTCATATATGTTATAAACTTATATCTTCATATATCCAGAGTGAGTCACACCAGCGTCGGTCCTGAGATGTGGATGAAGTGTTTTTGTTTCATGTCAGTAAAGAAAAGTGTGAAAATGAAATGTTAAAACACAATTTAAAAGAAATCTTTAAAAAGCTGTTGTTTTCTGTTCAAAGTCCCAAAATGATGCAGCGTCCACATTATAGTGTTGGTATGGACTGTGCTGGTCTGACACAAGGGTCAGGACTCAGATAGATCTTATTGAACTGTAGATCTTGGTCTCAGACTCAGAGGAGCTGAAGTGTCAGAGATCGAGTTTCCGTCCAAAGCTCACAACAGTTTGTCATTTGTTTTCTTTGAGCCTGAAATCACTCACACCCCCTCAGTGATCTATAAAAACTCACACTGCTCTACACAAACCAAACGCCTGGCTCAGCAGAAAGCTGAGGCCCCGTAAAGATCCAAATCTGAGACCCCCTCAACTGCAACAGAAAACACTGAGCCTCCCCGCTCTTTGTAACACGAGCGAGCTGCTGAACTTCAGGGGGTTTAAACTAACTGAACCTGGACAGAGCTGGACCGAGCTCAGGGTGGGGAGCAGAGGGTCAGGAGTATCTGAGCCAGGAAGATGGACCCTGGACGGAGCCAGAACACAGACAGGAGAGTCTGGGGGGAATGAAAATGGAGAATAAGACCAGAGCCAGAACGGAGCCAGGACGAGGCTGGGACAGAACCAGAACAAAGCCAGAACAGCACTCCCGGGCAGGGCCGGGAGAAACCCAAGACCAAACCGGATCTCAGCCAAAGAAGAGCCGGGACAGAGCCAGATCGGGGCCGGGGCAGCTCTGCAGGAAAGAGGCTGCAGGACTGAACTGTTAATCTTGGGGGAAAGATAATATGAAAACGAGGTGTTGATGTCAGTGTGTGGGCCGACTGACCGGATGACATCATCATGACATCAGCGGGGTGCGGTTTGATTTGTGCTGAGCGCCTCGGGGGAGAGGAGACAACACAAAGTCTTCACAAACATGATGAAAAAATAAAGAAATATATGAAGGACTGAGAAGTATGAGGTCACATGGAGGTGAAATATAAAACCTGAAGAGTTCAACACAGTTCATTAGAATATTACATGAGAGGAACATTCATCAGGCTGTAGAAGAAAAGACTTAACGTGAAGTTTTAAAGTTAAAAACCTCATGAACACCAGGGGAGATAAAGTGGTTCAGACCTGCTATCTCTCTGACCACTAGGTGTCACTGTCTGCTCACAGTTGAGGGACCTTCAACTTCACTGCATTAATCCAACAGCTGGATTTACTGTAACTACACAGACAAAACAAGCGGAGCAGAGACCTGATCAATATCAGTACAATATTGATCCTGTCCCTTTAATACGGATTCATTCCTTTTCATACAAAACTCAAGAAGAACGAAGCCCAGACATCCCAAACACAAATGTAGCATGTGGACATGTATTGAATTTCCATATATGAAATATTTGTTCATATGTGTATATACCTTTATATATAAATCACATATGGAACAAATTCAAACAATCAAACACTGACATATATGTGTAGCTAATACAAACATGTTTATGCTTATACTGTAGACGTTACATAAATATATCCCTCCCAAAGCCTGTCTATGGTATATATTATATTATATATGTAAGTATATGTAAGTATACGTATAAAAGATAGACATGTATGCTTAAAATTAATAAGAAAATCATATATAAACAATAGAATTGTTGTTTTGATGAACTTGCATTTTATTATGTGTATTTCATATGTTATAAACTTGTATCTTCATATATCCAGAGGATGTATATATATATATATATATATATATATATGTGATAATTATATATCCTCATATAGGTGACATCTATGTCATATATTACATTTCTGAAAACAAGCAACTAATTCTACTCAAATCAAAAGTTGATATTTAAAAGAATTATTATAAGTGAGATTCAATTCTTTTATTTTTTAAATATTTTGTACATCTGTATTTATTCTTGCTGTCAGTCGATCCTCCAGGTGATGGATGATACTGAAGCAGATCTGTGGACAGATGTTCAGCTTCTGTACAGATGTTCTGGAGGTTTGTTTCTCTACCTCCTGTAGAGGGACAGAGTCCAGCAGGTCGTGGTTTTCACTTCCCTCCTGTGTGATCGATGTGAAGCTGAAGCTTCTTCAGACTGAGTCTTCAGACACAGACCTGGACTCACAGCAGCATCTAGACACGTCATCATGTTTCTCGTGCAGCTCACACACACACCTCCATGTTTCAGGGTCACAGCAAACCTCAGTCTTCATCAGCTGTTAGCGTCTCTTCCCCGACGCTCAGATTCAGACCGTGAACGCTCTGATCATTGAATTGATCATTGATTTGAGATATGACAGATTGAAGATAATACACAGTGGAAGTGTAGAAACTGTCACTTCATAAAAAATCTGCAGATTTAATGATGATCTTAAGTGTGAAGTGAGGTCATTGTGAGACGAGGAGATGGTTCTTCTTCTTCTGTCGTCCGTTCGTCCTGTCTGTCATTCATTGAGTCTTTTATTGAGATTTTCTTTGACCTGTGGTTTCAGTGTCTCAGTCACAGTTGGAATCTGTTCTCTGATCATCAGTGAAACAAAGAAACACGGACTCTCTCTGTAACCAGCAGAAGAGAGCGTTTTGGCCTCTTCATGTTTTACCTGCCTTTAAACCTCGTTCATCCCCTCTGAAATCTGACTTTTAAATGCCTCACAGTCTTTTTATTTATTGATCTATTATTGATTAAAGTTACTTCCCAACATCATTTATTGTACGTCTCTGTGTTCCTCTGTGTGCAGGCTGCTCATAACTCACTGCCCCTGCTGGGACTAATCAAGATGTTTTGAGTTCAGCAGCTACAGAAACTGAAATACAACAGTACTGCTGAAAACCGTCTCCTGCGCCCCACGCTGTCGTTCTTCTTCTTCTTCTTCCTCTTTTTGGATGTAAGTGCAGAACCTTTCAGCCATGTTGTGTTTAGTTTTAAAATATAAATTCAACAGCTGTGTCTCAGGAGGTAGATCAGGTCAAACACTGATCAGAAGGTCGGTGGTTCAATCCCCGGCCCCTCCAGTCTGCATGTTGAAGTGTCTTTGGTGAGAAACTGAACCTCAGGTCGACGGCTGCTCCATCAGTGTGAGTGTGTGAATGAACGGGTGAATGTTAGAAAGTAGAAAGACGTGATGAATGAATGTGTTTTGTGTCAATAAGCAAATGATGGTGAAGTTGCTGACGTCCTGACAGTTTGAATTCGTGAACTCAGTGTAAAGAAATGCTTGTGAGCAAAAGTGAAAAACTATAGGATGATGCAGAGTGCAGGACGTTACTGAGGCTGCTGGATATCCAGCCATAAATACACATTAACTAACAAGTGCAACACAAAGCGTCTGTTTGCGTAGATGAGTTTTACAGTAACATGAGCTGCTGTAAATCATTAACACTCACTAATGAGAAAAACAAAAGACGTTTTGTAAATCAGTTTTATTCTAAAAAGAAAACTAACATTCGAAGAAAGTCCCCATCTCCACCTGTAAAAGTAACCTGCAGTTCTTTGTGTTGGTAAAAGTTTTTTTTTACATCGACTTTTTATTGAATGATGCAAAATACGTTCAATCATCACGACGTGTTTCCTCCTCCACCAGTTTACACACTGATGTGAAACCTACGGTGGCC